GATTGAGCCTACAACTTGGGCATGTGCCCTGACAGGGAATAGAACCAGGACCTCTCAGTTCATGGGATGATGCTCAATCCACTGAGCCATACCGGCCAGGCAGCACTGTGGGTTTTAACCCTGAAAGAGTATGAGTGGGCAGGTAGGTTGGAGAGGGAAAGGAATAAAAGGGACAAGGGAAAATGTTGAGGTTCTGAAAGGGGTTGGGGGGTAGTTGAATAAAGGAAAAAAAGAACTGGTGCCTCATAAGCTCTGTCAAACAGGCAAAGTTATGGGCAAATTTTAGTAAAGATCAAAGCCCTATAAGCATATTTTGGAGGTGGAAGTGTGTGTGGGGGGGTGAGAATACATTCTAATTTTTAGCAAAAATAATTACTTTTGATAACTTCATTTTTATATTGACTAAGAGGGCTAGGAACATTTCGAAATCTCAATATAAAATGCCTTGCACACCATAAATATTCAACTAACATAGCCTTCACCCTCCTCTGCCCCCACCCACTAGGTTGCAAAACTAGATCCATTCCAGAACCAGGGAAAGAAGAGAGACTATGAACCCCAAAGGGATGGACTTAGACCAGCTGTGAACATTAGTATCTTCTTACCATGGCTCCTGCCAGGGGAGCCTAGGGGACAGTTTTGAAATGTGAAAGGAAATCTTTATCTAGTTTTAAATGAAGAGGTTCATTCTAAGCTCTGAGAGATCACTGAAAGATGAACTACCAAGCGATTTGAAACTCTGTTAATGTTATTACTGATGGGCAAAAACTCCTTCATTGTTCTCTGATCCTTGTTTCCAATTGTTCAAGTTTGCTTACATCATGAAAATAGTGGTGGGCCAAGAAATAGCTTATATTTGCAGAACCCTCTTCCTTTAGCATGTCATGGTGACAATATCAGGGAAAATGGGGACTCAGTAAATATCAGCTGACTCAGTAATTGTACTTTGGGGTCTTCATCTGTTTGTTTGCAAAAGAACTGCTAAATTATTCACTTTAGATTTGGAATTTAATACACTTTAGAGGTTTCATAATAAATAAACCAGTGAAACTGAAAATCACCTAAGACAAAGAATACTTACATTTTATAAAAACAACCTTTCCATGTGCTTGCTGCTTTAAGAAATATACTGAGGGTAAGAAAATTCTTAGCCAGAGATGTCTAAAATGTCAACTTTGTTACCTTTAACATTTTTCTCTTTTTTTGAAGACTGGGACATTTGGGATTTACACTTCCCATTATTAGAGCTAATATTAATTAAGTACTTAGTGTAGGCCATAACTGTTCTAAGGGTTTTATATATTTAATATACATTTAATCCTTTGTATTACCTTTAGATTAGAGCTAATTATCTTTTCAAGTTTGCAACTAAGGAAATTAATGCACATAGAAATTATAGCTTGCCTAGGTGGATTTGTAGATATATTTATTACTAGCAATTTGCTCTATTATATTACATTTCTCTTATTGTTTACATGCTATAGGAAAGTCACCCATACTCTGTGTGGGGAAAAAAAAAAGTCCATGGTCTTTGAGTGATAGTTTGACAAGAAATGTTTCCAAAGGTTTTCACATCTCTAAAAACTTTCTAAGAATGCATATCTGAGACCGCCCCTGAATTTTTAGCTTCAGAGCACCAATTCAGAATTTCCTGAAGTTTATGTTAAGTACACTTAAGTTTATGTTAAGAAATGTTCAATTCCGTTGAATCTGAAAATTTTTATTTGGATCTCTTGCTTCTCATCCATAAATACTTTCTGATCAGAGACTATGGATGGGCCAGAGCCATCTCCAATCATCTTTAGAATCCCATGGATATTGGTCATGGGTGGGGAAGTGAGGGATTGGATGTGCTCTTCAGATATCATAGCTGGGATCTCAGGGTTCCATTCCCTTCTTATTATTGTACTTATTGGGAAGTCTGTCTCTCCTCTTCCATTTCCCTCATACATAAGACTGTGAATTCCTTGGAGACAAATTGTCTTCTTTGTTTTTAATCTTTACCATCCTACCACTGACTATGGTGTTTTATATAGGTGAATGTGCTTGAATTGAAATTTCATTTATTTTACCATTAGTAATCACTTGAATCACAGAAAAAGTCACATTATTATTAAGTTTACCTGGTCATTTGATTTTAAAGCATTGACACAGAGATGATTGTAGTTGCAGAGAATACATTGACACAATGAACTTTGCTATATTAGAAAGTTTAGCATGCCCAAGATCATACTGATAAACATCAGACCAGTGTTTAGATGTCTGATTTCACATCCCAGATATTCACTTCCACTGTTTTGTGATGTAAATAGGTGGTTGAGACAATGCTACAGTAGATATCCAGTTCATCTTCTGGATAAAACAGCTTTTAGCTAGACCCCATAAATTTTGTCCTACTTTCTGTGTTTCTGAACATATTTCGAGTAATCCCTGTGACCTGAGATCTATATGTTAACTTCCCATGTTCAAGGACAGTTTTAAATATGTGTTCTCACGTTTTCTAGCTGTGTGAGTGTGCACAGGCCACATCCTCATCTTTTCTTTAACCTCCTTATCTACTTCTTCCCCCTTTTTCTTTAAGATCCAATTCAAACACAACTTCTTCAATGAAACATCTCCAAACATGTACCAAAACAACCTGTACACTCTCATCACTGTGCCATGTGTTCCCCGTTACAATGCTTACCTTTCTGCATTGTCACCCTCTCTCTACTGGACTTTCAGTTCCCCGAGAGTGGGGACCATGTCTTTAAGAAATATTTTTTTGCCCTGGCCTGTTTGGCTCAGCGTTTAGAGAGTTGGCCTGCGGTCTGGAGAGACCTGGGTTCGGTTCCCGCTAAGGGCACGTACCTTAGTTGCAGTTTTTCCCCGGCCCTGGTTGGGTCGTGTGGGTGGCAACCAAAAGGAACACTCGATGTGTTCCTTTCACGTCAATGTTTCTCTCTCTCTCTCTCTACCTCCCACTCTATCTGAACAAAATATCAAAAAATGTCCTCCAGTAAAGATTTAAAAAAAAGAAATATTTTTTCTTTTATTCATTTAATGACATCTATCCAGTGCCTGTTATGTGCGGGGACTGCGCTAGGTGTTGGAGACACAATGGTAAGTAAAAGCACATGATCTCTGCCCCCACGAAGCTCACAGTCTGGGTTGGAAAGGTGCACATAACCTGATACTGAAACAGAGCTACAACTGCACCTGTGACTTGTTATGAATGGGAGGTATATGGTGCAATGACAAGCAACAACAATGGGAGTTGATTTGGGGAAGTCAGGGAAAGCGTCCATGAGTAAGTGAGGGTTGAGCTAGGGTACTGGAACACAGTGTGTCTGGCTGCAAGCCCACACCATCATCACTGCACCTGTTCTGAGTGGTGGTGCCATAGGCTTGGACCAGTGAGTGAGAACCTGTGAAAGACAGCGGAATCAGCTATACCAATTTAAGTTGTTAAAGGTTAATTCCACTAAAACTGCCACACAAAACTGGGTAATTAGGAAGAATTACTAACCAAAAGAAAACTAATAAGAATAAATCCCACATATGCCGTTTCTGTTTATTAATCCAAATCTTATTCCTCGTGTGTATTTCTCAATTGAAAGTCACCAATTCAAAGTTACTGTGCCCTACTTCTGTCTCCCACAATAGCCTCACTTCCCCCGAAACGCGCGCGTGCGCACACACACACACACACACACACACACACAGAGTTGGATTTATAATCATGTAGTTCTTGTAGACCAATATTGATTGAAAGGCTTCAGGACTCATGGGCAGTGGTTCTGAACCTGTGGGCCGCGACCCCTTTGGGGGTCGAACGACCCTTTCACAGGGGTCGCCTAAGACATAACAGTAGCAAATTTACAGTTATGAAGTAGCAACAAAAATAATTTTATGGTTGACGGTCACCACAACATGAGGAACTGTATTAAAGGGTCGCGGCATTAGGAAGATTGAGAACCACTGGGCTAGAGGAATATTTAGGCAGAAAAAAAAGGAGATACTAATATGCACTGAGAATTCTCTCAGCTAGCAGTTATCCTTCTAACCCATGTGTGTCCACAGCTGCTCAGGCTCATGAATTTACAAAAGAAACAGAAGGCCTTGTCCTTGTTCTGAAGGAGCTTGCTGGCTTGTTAGCAGACAGGGCATGTATGAATAAAACATTTGGGGAAGCCTTTCAAGGCACAGTATAATAAAGTGCTGACGTTGTGAGGTCGGGATTGGGGGAGAGGAGGTAGGCTTTCACAGAGGAAGAGGATAGCCCAGTTCAAGACACAAGTCAGGAAGACTGTGAGAAGCCAGTGGGGCCCTGGTCAATATGATTCAGTGGTTAGAGTGTCGGTGGCCAGACCGAAGGGTCTCAGGTTCGATTCCCGGACAAAGGCATGTACCTGGGTTGTAGGTTCAATCTCTGGCCCTGGTTGGGTTCGTGCCAACCAATTGATGTGTCTCTCTCACATCCATGTTTCTCTCTCTCTCTCTCCCTCCCTCCCTACCACTATATCTAACAATCAATGGAAAAATATCCTCAGGTGAGGATTAACCAAAAAAAAAAAAAAAAAATCAATAAATATATGTATCCTCGGGTGAGGATTTTTTAAAAAAATCAATAAACATATTCTTGGGTGAAGATTTTTTTAAAAATCAATAAACATATCCTCTGGTGAGGATTTTTTAAAAAGCAGCCAGTGGACTTCAGTCATGCCCCGAAAGAAGGATTGGATTAAGAAAAGAAAGAAAGAAAAAGAAATCTGCTAACATGTATTGTATACTTATTACATTCTAGGCATTATGTCTGGGATTGTTTTATCTTATTTTGACCTCACTGTAGTCTGGCAAAGTATATGAGTATATCCATGTTTTACAGGTGAGGAAATACATTGGTTGATGTTATCAAATGTTGTTTCAGTTTCAAAAATGATCAAATATTGTCTACAGTGCACTTTTTAAGACCTTTGTATTTCCATACTTTATTTTTAGAGAAGTACACTAAATTCATCATGATTGAAGACAATAAGGAAAACAAAGACCATTCTTTAGAAAGAGGAAGAGCAACACTCATTTTTTCCTTAAAGAATGAAGTTGGAGGACTTTTAAAAGTACTGAAAATCTTCCAGGTAAGCACTCTCCATATTTCTACATAAAACTCTAGCACAAGTCTCTAAAATTATATTTAAAACACAAAATATTGTAACCCTGGCCAGTTTTGCTCAGTGGTTAGAGCGTCGGCCTGCGGTCCGGAGAGACCCAGGTTCAGTTCCTGCTAAGGGTATGTACCTCGGTTGCAGTTTGTCCCCGGTCCTGGTTGGGTCGTGCGGGTGGCAACCACTCGATGTGTCCCTTTCACGTTGATGTTTCTCTCTCTCTCTCTCTCTTCCTCTCTCTCCCTCCCACTCTATCTGAACAAAAAACGAAAAAATGTCCTCGGGCGAGGATAAAGAAATATATATATAAAATATTGTAAATTTTTCAGAGTTGGATTACAGACATTTCTTTAGCACTTAAATTTCTAAATTATTGCTCAATTCTAACAAATGGGCAAGGGATAAAAACAGTTTACAGAAGAGGAGATACAAATAGCTAATAAAGGAATGGAGGAAAAAAGATTTACTTCACAGATTTTGGCGAAGCAAATTTTAATTTAATTTTCATTTAGCCTGGCTGGTGTGGCTCAGTGGATTGAACATCGTTCCATTGGCTGAGAGGTCCCCGTTTAATTCCGGGTCGGGGCATGTGCCCAGGTTTTGGACTCAAACCCCTGTGCAGGGCTTGTAGAAGGCACCCCATCAATGTTTCTTTTTCTTTTTTTTTTTTTTTATCCTCACCCGAGGACATTTTTCCAATTTTTGTACAGATAGAGTGGAAGGGAGAGAGAGAGAGAGAAACATCGATGTGAAAAGGACACATCGAGTGGCTGCCACCCGCACGACCAACCAGGGCCGGGGACAAACTGCAACCGAAGTACGCGCCCTTAGCGGGAACCGAACCCGGGTCTCTCCGGACCGCAGGCTGACGCTCTAACCTCTGAGCCAAACCGGCCAGGGCCCCCATCAATGTTTCTCACACTGATGTTTCTATCTCTCTCTAAAAAAAAAATCAATAAAAACAAAACAAACAAACAAAAAAACAATTATAATTTTATTTTCATTTAAAAATATGAAAGTTTTACTGATATTATTTAGTGATGTTTTAATAATATAGTTAATTATATTTTTATGTAGCAAAATAACAACATTTTTTACAATTATACTGTTCCCTAAAAACTTCAATGTATTTGACACTTAAATATACCTGTGCTGTGAGGGTAACAATTTGGTAATATATATTATGAACCTTAAAATGTTCACATTTTATTTTTTATTTGTTTATTTCCTTCTTTTGCATTTTTTATTGTTGACACTATGACATATGTCCCCATTTACCCTCCATTTGCCCACCTCCACCCAGCTCCTGCCCTCCCCCCACATAATGTTCACATTTTGACCCAGTAATTCCACTTCCCATATATCTATCTTAAGGAAATAAAGGTCAGTGAGGAAGATCATGAATATTAATTGAGTGCTTACTCTGTGCCAGGTGCCCTGCTAGATACTAAGGATGTGGACCTGAACAAAATAGACACAGTGCCTGCCCTCACAGTGTGTGTGATCTAGTGGGAAACAGACACCAAACAAGTAATTATAGGAAGTAAATAATTACATGTTGTAAAGTGACCTGAAAGAGAAGTACGAGGTACTACGATAGCATTGAACTAGGGGACCTAACCTAGTTTAAGGGCTTATGGACACAGAGATTTATGTATAGGAACTAAATATTATAAACAAACTACTTGCCCTAAGGTAAGGGGCTGGTTAAATTATGCTACTAGAACATCTTTGGGGTGAAGCTTATAAACCCCTGAGGTAGATAGGCTGAGTTCAAATCCTTGCTTTATCACTTATTAGCTGGGTGATCATGGACAGATTAATTAGTCTCTCTATGTTTCAGTCTTAACATCTATAAAATGAGAACCCTACCTACTTCATAGGATCATTGTGAGAATTAATAAGAGTTAATATATGTAAGTGCTTAGGATGGTTCAAAGTACCTTATCAGAGTTAGCTATTTTAAAAATGAAGTTTATATCCACATGACATACTATTATGTAGCCATTAATAATATTTCAAATAAATAAAAATTTTAAATACAGACAAGTAGTCTAGAAGAGTTTGAAAAGCATCATTTTTTTCAACCCAACACATTATATCCTCAATCCCACTCCCCAGAGGCAACCTCTTAATTGTTCTTTTGGTGGTGAGTTTATAAAATATAAATAGTGCTCTTATATCTCTCTTTGAGGTATCAATTTTACATAATATTCATTCACTGTCTGTTGTGACTGATACTGATACTTCCTCCCTCCCTTCAGCCTCCTACTCCTCCCCCATTGGTTAATTGTGTAATTATTTTAAGCTAGCCTATTGATTACCTTGGGCCTTTAAATAATATACTTATATTGCTTCTTTCAACTTTGTTATTTTATTTTCAAATAATACTGTGCATGGATTAAAAAAGTCAACCCACACTACAAAACTTGTAGAGGAAACAGCCATCTTTTGCTTCATCTCTCTTCATTCCTTAGTTCCACTTAATTTTTTGTTAACCTTAGATGTAGAGGGTTGAGCTAATCCTACTTTAAATCACAGGTGCACTATCCTCAGTGATTTATACAGCCTTCTGTTGTAGGTCATTGTTCCATTCACTCTGCATTTCTCTCTTCTGATAGACAGCTGCTCTGTTTGATATGTACATTGAATTATTTTAATGTGTACTTCAGCCTATGTAGAGTTTTGGGTATGTATGTGTTAGTAATTACATAAATGTTATTGTATGATACACTATTCTTTCACTCAGTGCTGTGTTTTTAAGACCTACCTATGCTGCTGTATGTCCATCTCATTTGTTCTAACTTCTGCATAGTGTCCTGGATGTGAATCCACCCATTTTACTTATCATCAGCCTACAGAAGGCAACCAGTTTCAACTCTTTCAACTATATTTCCACTATTTACTTCCATATTTGTAAATAATCTGCTTATTCTGCTGCTATTTCTTGATTTTTTTTTAGTTGTAGGTACTATCTATTCATATAATGGAAGTAAAGATTTAGCTTTTTAGACACAACTTCCTTTTCAAGGGCCCCCTCAACTTCCCTTGCCTCCATCTTCCCAATGTAGTCACGTCCCAATTTTTGGCTCTGTCAGTCTTTAGTGTTTTCATTATTAAGGTTATGTAAATTTTGTTCAAAGAAGACCCATATTATCCATTATCCTGACTCTTCATTTCTTGTAAAACAGGTGGCAGCATGGTGTTTAAGAGCATGGACTGTGGACCTGGACAGCCTGGGTTTGAATTCCAGCTCTGATACTTACTAACTGTGTGCCTTTGGGAAAACTGCTTGACCTCTCTGTACCTAGATCTGTAACTGAAATACCTTATAGTGACTGTTTCACTTATTGATCCTACTTTATCTGGATTTTCCAAGATCTTCTTGCCTTAATTGTTCTTCCAGATAGATTTTGAAATTATTTAGTTACATTTCCTCATCAAACTCCACCAAGGTTTTGATAGCATTACATTTATAGGTTTAGGAAGAATTGACATTTTACATTTTTTTTTCTCAAGAAACATAGTTTTTAGCTTTATATTTATTCAAGTTGTCATTCAGAAAGGATTTAAGAATATATTCTTATTGTAAAAATTCATAAGAAATATATTCTATAAAACTCTCCTTTACTCCTAATCAATGCCAGTCTATTTTGTAACTGGCTTTCTTCTGTTGATTCCATGATAAATTCCATGTTCCAAGATAAACCCTGTGTATTTCAGTTTCCCAACATTCTGGATACTCTTTCTTTTTGGTTCGTATTCCCTGATAATTCTCAGTTCTTATCTCATCCCTACCTTTGCTCGTACAGTGCTCCTGCTTGGAACCCTCCTTCTTTGCTCTGCCTTCCTATTCTGTCTGTCCTTTAAGACTCATGTTTGTTCCTACCTGCTCATAGAAACTTCTACTCTCTCTAACCATGATGCTTTGTCCTTTTGCTGAACATTTCCTGCACCTGAACACTCACCACTTGTATTTTCTTAGTCTTTTGTGTGTTAGATAACTAGGTTACACACGGATGTGTGTCTTACCTTTCATTGTATGCTTCACAGCCCTTACCTGGCTACATAGATGTTCACTAATTAATTTAGATCAAAGTAGTTGGTGTTGGAGATCACCTTCTCCATCTTTCTCATTTTTTTAGATGAAAAACTGTTGGGTAACTGGTTCTTATGTTTTATTATTATGTCAACAGTGCTTTTCCTCAGCTCCCCAAACTGGTAAGAGAAGATCCTTCCTCCCACAGGTTGACACATATGGCACCCACTGCCCAGCCTGTCATGAAGAAACCAGAAGCAGAAGTCTGGTTCAGCTGATCACTAAGTTTGTAGCTTAAGAGATTTGAGGTATTAAATACTCTGTGTTCAAGCTGCTCATCTAATTTTATTGGATGCATTTTTGCAAAGGAAGCTTTGTTAAAGGAGTATCATTTTTTGAAAACTGACTCTTATTGGTGAAAATTTTCAAAAGCTTCATTTTATTTAGGAGACTTGGTATTTTCATTTGAAGGTTAATCAATTCTGGCAATCTGAGGACTTCTAGTGGGTGTTATTTCATTAATTTTGAGAGGATGTGATGAATGTTTCAAACTTTTTTGAATAGTACCTAACATTTAGGGGGAATTATTTTGCTATTGGCAGCACTAAAAGCAGCCTTTTCTCCCGTTGGCTATTGTGACAATTGATTTTTAGTGGTAATGAAAGTAATCTGCATGTAGGCAGCCATTGGTAAGCTCACCCTCTGCTTTACACAGGAGAAGCATGTGAACCTGTTACACATTGAGTCCCGGAAATCAAAGAGAAGAAACTCGGAATTTGACATTTTTGTTGACTGTGATATCAACAGAGAACAACTGAATGATATTTTTCATCTGTTGAAGTCTAATACTGATGTTCTGTCTGTGAATCCACCTGATAATTTTACCATGAAGGAGGATGGTAAGTTTGAAAAGTAAAAATACTGCTCGGAAGATTAAGTACATAATGCGCTCTATTTTTTGTTAAAATTGTGTTGCTTTTTACTTATCTATTTTCTTTTTTAAAATTTTATTTTTCAGTTACAGTTGACAATCAATATTATTTTGTATTAGTTTCAGGTGTATAGCGTAGTGGTTAGACAGTGATATATTTTACTAAGTGTTACCCCTGCTATTTCCGGTACCCACCTGGCACCATACAGTTATTACAACATTATTGACTATATTTCCTATGCTGTACTTTACATCCTCGTGACTATTTTGTAACTACAATTTGTACTTCTTAATCCCTTCACCTTTTTCACTCAGTCCCTTTCCAATCCTATATTTATCTTGAAGGATGAAAGTAAAAATAAAATACTCTCTTTAAGTTGCTTAGAGTCTGGTAGTGAGGGGAACACAAAATAGAATTGCTCAAAATTTTAAATAAAAAAGTATAAGGCAACATTTTATCAGGGGTGAAAAGGAAACCTTGAAATAGGAAAGAATTCAGGTTAGAAATGTATTACATTATCTCAGTTTCCAAGTCAGCAAGCATTTCTTAATTTCACAAACCTCCAATTCACAATCCCTGAGTACTTAGCAACTCTCAAAGGGCTTAGAATCTAGCAGATGTTACATGAATTTGTTGAGAATGTTGACAGTCACTGGCAACTGTGATGTGAAATACACAATGTATAACATTCCTCTCTGTCCCCACCTCCATCAAAAGCAAATCAAAAGGCAAGTAAGCCTTCTAAGATATCAGATACTCAGATAACAAAGATATAGGCTAAGATCTTCTATTGTGAAAAAATCCTGATGTTTACTTTGGGGCAAAAGACAAATGGATAATTCAGCCATGTTTTGTATATGGTACTCAATTTAAAATGATCCCTTCAGATTATGTCACAATATATGGGGTATAATCAGGGCTGCTACTCATCTGTTATGTATTTGTATGGCTGTATAAATTATTAAAATATTTATATACTTTCCTTTTTGACTGCCATTTCAAGCTGCTTCATTGAGTCCTTCGAGCGTTTCCTACCTGTGTGCTCCAGGTCCTCCCTAGGCTTCCCGTGCCGGCCACAAACAGCTACAGGGTTAACACCTGGCAGAGCAGTATCCTAGGACTCTGCTTGTGTCCATTTTGAGTGATGTGATAGGTGTCCCTGTTGTATTTGTTGTTAAATCTCTTAAATATCACTTCTGGGTATGTTAGAAAGAGCATTCAACAGAGGTAAGAAGAATCAGGTTCTAGTCCTCTCTCTTCTATTAGGGAGGGATGAGTTACCTTGGTAAATTACTTTACCTCTCTGGACTTTGATTACCTTATCTATAAAATTAAGAGAAGCTAAATGGTTCAGTTGATATTTAGGGAATACCAACTGTGTCAGATATTTCTGCTAAGGAACAAGGATACAAAAATACATAGTCCCTACCCTACAGTCATTTTCATTTTTCCCTGTAAGACAGACATGGTACAGATACATTACACTAAAACATAAAGAAAGCTTGTAGAATGTTAGAAATGTAGTGTCCTGGGAACCCGGTTGATAGAGAATTAGCTTCAAATTTCCTATTAAATTTGCCCATTGACCTGTGAAGTTGTACATCCCTACTCTGCTTATTTAAAGTGGTCAAATATGTAGCTTAAAAATGTAAGTTTTGGCCCTGGCCGGTTTGGCTCAGCGGTTGGAGCGTTGGCCTGCCCACCAGAGAGTCCCTGGGTTCAGTTCCTGCTAGGCCTTAGCGGCTAGAGGCATGTACCAAAAAAAAAAAAGTAGGTTTTTGTTTTGTATTTTTTTAACTTTTGGTCTATTAACAAAGTATAGCATTTCTCTGACATTAGGCAATCAAGGCTTATACATTTTAAATTAAAATATTTGAATAAGATTTACTTATTAGAAATAGAGAAGTTTACTTGTATAAATTTTGCCTCGATATGCAAGCTTAAATAAAAAATCTCATTAAAAGCATTTATGACTTTCTTAATTCTTCTTCCTTATTGCCTTAAGACAGTCTCTTCAGCTGTTAGTGATTTTTGTATTTTGCAGATATGGAAGTGGTTCCTTGGTTTCCAAAGAAGGTTTCTGACCTGGACCATTGTGCCAACAGAGTTCTGATGTATGGATCTGAACTAGATGCAGACCATCCTGTAAGCATTTTTAATAAATATTTTCATGAAAATAATTTAAAGCAAACTAAAATTTAAGAGCAACATTTTCATTTTTGGAGAAAGTGCTTAGTCTAGATTAAACAGCATCTTGTTTTAATTGGGGTTTCGGGAAGTTTAGTAGATAGACCTCTGTGTTGGTGGAATTGAGACCGACTGCCTCAAGAGCATCTGACTTCGTTGGCTCCAAAGCATCTGTTCAATGCCTGACATTCCTATTATTAAGAGTTATTCAAAGAGCTATACTAAAATAAAGACACTATCTACAGTCTGTGTTTATTAAAATGGGCATGGGTTATTGGATAGAGGAGTAAAGAAAGGACTTACCTTTTTAGTAAAGAAAAAGACTTACCACCCATGCTTCCCAGAATAAATGGATTATTAGGCAGTTGATGAACTAGGAAGTTGTTTCCTTGGGAATTACATGGGATACAGTACTGGCACGAGTTGGAGAATTAATAAATCCAGAGTATTAGGATTGCTTATGGAGCTCTAGGTTCCTAGGTGGGAGGAGGGGGGCGGGGGGTGGTGGTGGAGAAGAGAGTACAGTTATGAATTTGCATAGATCAGGGCTCTAATCCAGCTTCTACCACCGATTAGCTCTGTGAATGTAACTGTATACAGCCTTAACCAGCCCACAGCCAATTCATCCATTTATTCTATTAATATCTTATTGTGTAATTATTACAATTTGTAAATGTTATACCTGTCAGGGAGTTTACAGTCCAGGTGAAAAGATAAAGCACACATACAAATAAACACATACGAGATTAAAATGTGGAAAAAGTGCTAAGTAGCATGAATAAATTGCTTTAAGATATATACAAGAGAGCAAACATTTCTAGCTGAAGAGATCAGTTGTGTGATTAAGAAAACAAATCTTACCCTTGAGAAAGAGCCTGTATTTAACTAAGGTGGCGCTCCATATTATTCAAACTATTTTATTTTTGTAGCCACTATAGTATTTTTGCATTTTTGTATCTATAGCATCTTTTTTTTCCCCTAGATCCTCACCAGAGGATATGTTTTTATCATTGATTCTAGAGAGAAAGGAAAGGAGAGGGAGAGAGACAGAGAGAAATATCGATGTGAAAGAGAAACATTCATTGGTTGCCTCCCATATGTGCCCTGACCAGGGATTGGACCCACAACCTGGGTATGTGCTCTGACTGGGAATCAAACCCGAGACTCTTCAGTGTGCGGATGATGTTCTAATCACTGAGCCATACCAGCCAGGGCTGTATCTATAGTATCTTTTCTCTTTGTAGTCACTATAGTATAAAGCTGTTATACATGTATGTAGTATAAAACACTGACTTTAAAATAAAAATGATCATAAATTTCTAAACAATGCTTGCTCAAAATAACAATTATGTAACTGTTTAATATAATAGTTTGGGTAATAATAAAAATTATTCCCAAATATCACTTGTCAAGTTTATTTTATTATGAGTATTTAAAACCTTTTCTTTAATTATCAGGGCTTCAAAGACAATGTCTACCGTAAAAGGCGGAAGTATTTTGCAGACTTGGCTATGAACTATAAATAGTAAGTGCATTATAAAAATAACTTATCCAAGTTTAAAATCAATAAAATAAAATTGATTTTAAAATCAATGAAGAGAGTAAATTATGCTCATTTAATAAATAGAGAATAAGATAAATGCTACTGTTTATTGAATGCTAATTCAAAGTAACTTCTTTCCTTTATCTCACTAGTGGTGACCCCATTCCTAGGGTTGAATTCACTGAAGAAGAGATTAAGACCTGGGGAACCGTGTTCCGAGAGCTCAACAAACTTTACCCAACCCATGCCTGCAGAGAGTATCTCAGAAACTTACCTTTGCTTTCTAAATATTGTGGATATCGGGAGGATAATATCCCACAGTTAGAAGATGTTTCAAACTTTTTAAAAGGTGATAAGCGAATTAAAATTTTCTTGTAAGGGGAATGTTGAACTCCTGTATTGGGCACCACATTTGAAGAGGGACAGTCATAACCAAACAAATGGAGAAGAGAGTGAGCAGAATGATAAGGAGATGGGAACATGTATCATATAAATAAAATCGGAAGGACTTTTAAGCTGTCTAACCTGGAGTTTTAAGGGACAGTATAGCTTTATTTAAATATTTGGAGGTCATTTTACATAACAGAGGGATTATTATGTAGCACTAAAGTAAAGGACCGTTGAGTAGAAACTGCAAGCTTTTGGCTCAGCATGGAATGGAGCAGGCTCATGAGGTGGTTAGTTCCCCATTCAAGGAGGTGCTGATGCAGAAGCTCCCACTTGTCAGGGATGGGGTAGAGGAGATGAGCTCCTTGGGGACATGTGGAGCAGATGATCTGAAGCCCTTCCCACATTAACATTCTGTCATTTTCTCACGGAAGAAGGTGTGCTAGTAGAAGCATAAATAAAGGGTAAGGACTGTTTTGTCCTTTTAGATTTTCTTACTTGTTTGGTCCAGGCCTCCTTATTTCTTCTAGCCCGTGTAGGGAATGTTCAGTGATCTCCAGGGTCTCCAATACCTAAGAAAAATAAATATCTCCTGTGAGCTCAGTAGATTAGAAACTTAGGGGAAAAAAGAGAAATTATGTTTTCAACTCAAAGTGAGTTTAGTTTATTTCCATCATGATCTGAAATTACTATCTTTGAATTTTTAACATAGATTGTTATAACAATCTGCATATTCAACCCAATAATTCCCATTACTCAACTACTATATACAAAAGAAGAACTAAATAGAAAATGACAATACTGTTTTCACAAGGGAAACAGCTCTATAAGTGGTTCCTACAGAAACTAGATTTAATAAAAAAGAGTGGTTACAGATGACAGAGAACCAATGCACATGACCTCACAGGACTACAAAGATACCCAAGCATATGCTACAGAAGTTATTACTTTTTTAAAATCCTCACCCGAGGATATTTTTCTATTTATCTTCAGATAGAGTAGGAAAGGGAGACAGGGAGAGAGAGAGAAACATCGATGTGAGAGGGACACATTGACTGGTTGCCTGCCGCATGACTCTGACCAGGGCTGGGGATGAACAGCAATCGAGGTATGTGACTTTGGCTGGAATCAAACCCGTGACTCATTGGTCCACAGGCCGACGCTCTACGCTGAGCCAAACCTGCCAGGGCCAGAAGTTATTTTTAATCAAATTTATATGAGATTGGGAGGAAATATTTTGTTATGAACATGAAACTGAAAGCTGTTCACTTGAGGTCTGGAGCTTGAACGGGCTGCAGAACATGTTCTGAAAGGCTTTTCAAGGGAAAGTGTCAGAGAAACCAAAATTAAAAGACATTTCCAACAAAATATCAGATGTAAGAGGCTACCTGCCCTGTCAGATATGGTAGTCACTATATACATGTGATTGTTTAAAGAATTAAAATTGATTTAAATTGAATGTTAGTTCCCCAGTCACACCAGCCACATTTCAAGTATTCAATGTCACATACGGCTAGTGCCTATGCTGTGGCGTAGCCTAGCCTAGATATAGAACATTTCCATCATTGTGGAAAGTTCAACTGGCCATGAAGTCTGCCTGTCAGAGTGGGAAAATCCAAGTACAAAGCAACTGGTTGTAACTGGAACACTAGAGTGTGAGGGGTGAAATGAAGGGCAAAATCAGAGCTTGTAGAGAGCCGGCTGGCAGGCTCTCTGACAGTGGGTACCCAGTCCTGGCTGTTGGGGGAATGGAAGACCACCATCCAATACTGATAAAATAAAGAACCGACTTTATAAAAGGTAGTACTGGCTGAAAAAACGGCATAGATTTGAAAATGGTTCGGAACTAAATAAATAGATTCTGACTAGGGGATATTCTAAATTCTTTAGGGAGAAAACAAGGTGTAGATTAAGGAGACCTGGGTTCTCAGCCTACCTTTACCATCCACTGTGTGGCCTTGGGTACATTATTGAGTCTCTGAACCTCGGTTTTATAATTGTTACAATGGGGAGAATAAACTTGAACTCATACTGTAAACATGAAAGGAAATGTGATATGTAAACGGTATGATTCATTGCCTGGCCATGATAAGTGCAAAATCCTTTTACTTCCCCCTAGTACATATAGGATACATTTTAGTTTTCATGTCCTCTCAAAGTGTAACTGGGCAGAGTTAAAATGCTGCGGTATGTGGACTGTTCTGGTGAAGATTTTCTCTGTGTTTTCTCCCTTGTTTGGCAGAGCGCACAGGTTTTTCTGTCCGTCCTGTAGCTGGTTACTTATCATCAAGGGACTTTTTATCAGGCTTAGCCTTTCGAGTTTTTCACTGCACACAGTATGTAAGACACAGTTCAGATCCCCTCTACACCCCAGAGCCGTAAGTACTTCTTCATCATTCATTCATCAAATAGCTGTCTGTAACAATGGTACTAACCTCAGGAGATTTTTGAGAAGATTAAATACATTAGCACATGTAAAACATTTAGAATGGCCCCTGGCACTTAATACATACTTCATGTTCTATATATGTTAGCCATTATTATTATTATTATTAGACAACCTGTTAGGTGATAAGTGCTGTTCTAAGCATAGAGGATGAATGAATGTATAAACAATGGAAAAAAAAAAATCAAACAAACAAAATCCTGCCTCATTCCAGTGTAGTGTGGGGTACAGATAATAATCCAATAGTTACATATATTCAGGTGATGATCAGTGCCACGAAGAAAAATAAAGCAGGGAAAGAAGATGGAGGGTGTGTGTGTGTGTGTGTGTGTGTGTGTGTGTGTGTGTTGTATTGCTATCTTGAAAAGAGTGGTCAGGGAAGGCCTTGCAGGGAAGGTAACATTTGAGCAGAGACCTGAATGGGCGGGGTTGGGGTGGAGTGGGCGGGTGGGGGTGTCTTTGGGTGTCTGTGGGTATTTGTACGTACTTATATGTGTGGGGTTTTGAGTGGCCAAGGTTTTGAACCCAAACTCTTTTTTATTTGGTTAGTGTCCTCTGTGATCCTTTTCCAAATTAATGCCACTTGATCATTTTTTTTAAATCCTCACTCGAGGACATTTTTCCATTTATCTTTAGACAGATTAGGAGGGAGGGAGGGAGAGAGGGAGAAAGAGAGAGAAAAACATCAATGTGAGAGAGACACATTGACTTGGTTGCCTCCTGCGTGACCCCGACCAGGGCCGTGAACGAACTGCAAATGAGGTACGTGCCCTTGGCTGGAAACAAACTTGGGTCTCATTGGTCTGTGGGCCGACGCTCTAACCACTGAACCAAACCGGCCAAGGCCCACTTGATCATTTTTTTAAAAAGTAAGATCTGATTGTAATTTGCTTGAATGGTTGATGAATGCGTCTAAGCTAAGCATCACAGTGTGACAGACTTTTACCTCCTTTTCAGAGATACCTGCCATGAGCTCTTAGGTCATGTCCCCCTTTTGGCTGACCCTAGTTTTGCACAATTCTCTCAAGAAATCGGCCTGGCATCCCTTGGAGCTTCAGAGGAGGCTGTTCAACAGCTGGCAACGGTATAAATCTGGAAATAACTGTATAGATCAGTAATTCTTAACTTGGGTGGGATGTGGGTAATTGCATAGTTAAAAATTGTATATTCAAGAGGATCATTAGAAAATGTGTCTTGGCTCATATTTAATTTAATATAAATAACATTAAATTAGGATGTAAAATTTTAAGGTTTATTAAAAGGAGGCATGGCTTAAAAAAGGCAGAGAAACACTAGAATACAATAATGTTAATAGTTTGTAGATCTTTTTCCAGTAAAAATGATAAGTTCCCCCAACATGGTGCTAAAAATATTTTTTAGTACCAGGTTAAAGACATCACGCTGCAAATATAAATATGAGGAAGGCCTGGATCCTGCCTTGCAGGAACTTACCTCTGCTGGAGGAGCCGGTTTCCACAGAATGAGATGAAGGCCATAGGGACGTGCCGGCGCAGTGCTCTGGGAGTGCAGAGAACTGCGCGCGAAGGTTTCGCACAAGAGCAACATCTGAACCAGCCCAGGGAGGATGAGTGGTGTTTTCACATGCCCAGAAAGGCAGGAAGCTGGAGCAGAGTGTGTGACGGTGGGGGAAGCTGTGTGAAATAGGCGCAATGGTTAGAACGGTGCTTCTCAAATTGTGGTGTGGGGTCCCTCAGGTCCTTTCAGAATCATGCATAGGTGAAAGGCCCATTAAGAGTGCAAAGTGGATTTTAACATAACAGATGAGTTCACTGATACGGCTTCAGATTCCACAAGGCAGCTGAGCTTTAAGAAACCACCACCTTTTGAATTTTGATGCAGTGTCAAAGAAAGGCTATTAAAATATTGAATCCTCTTTCAACTGTGTGAGGCTGAATTCTCTTCATATACTCTAACCATATATGTTAACCATTATCATTACTATTATTAATTGATAATCTGTTAAGTGACAGGTACTATTCTAAGCACAGGGAATGTAGCACTGGAAAAAAAAAAAAAACACATAAAAATTCCTGCCTTCATAGAGCTTATATTCCAAGGTGGGATATAGATAATAAGCAAATGAATATATATATATACATATACGTATGTATATATATATATTTTCAATGAATATGATATACATATGCATATATATGAGTGTGTGTGTGTGTGTGTGTGTGTGTGTATATATATATATATATATATATATATATAAAAATAAAAGAAAACAATGTATTGCAACATGTTAAATACAGGGGCAGATATGAGAATCCATCTGTTTTCCAGCCAGACATTAAATAATATCTCCCCAGTCTTTAAAAAGACTTGTAACGTGTAAAACAATGCTAGTTTTTTACCTTTTTGTTTTGTACAGTATAGTTACTTTTCATTAAAATGTTATTTATGTTACCATAAAATGATTTATTATATTTTTAAATTAATTAGTAGACATTTAAATATTTTCTTGGTTTTAATTGGTAAGTATAGCTAGCTATAACCCAAATGAACAAAAAGTCTTTGATGTCTTCAGTAATTTTGAGGAGTGTATAAGGATCTTAGGAACAAAAATTTGAGAAGTGTTTATTTAGAGTGAGGTCAGACTGTACAAATACTTGTGAGCTAGTCTGGGGGTCTGGACTTTATTCCAGGATACTTTGGGTCAGTGATGAAGAGTTATAATTTGTTTTAAATTGAGTCATTCGGGATGAGAAAGTGATATTGATGTCCTTTTGCAGTGCTACTTTTTCACCGTGGAGTTTGGTTTGTGTAGACAAGATGGGCAGCTAAGAGTCTTCGGTGCTGGCTTACTGTCTTCTATCAGTGAACTTAAAGTAAGAGTTGTAAATCTTTGCACATCACCATATTCACTTAATATCACTTATATGACTGAAAATACCTTGTGGATTTGAACTAGAGCTTCGTATGGAAAATACTTAGGGTGACAGTACATATTATTTAAGAGACATTTTTCTCTATTTCCCAAACATTCTGATGTGTGTGTGTGTGTGTGTGTGTGTGTGTGTGTGTGTGTGTGTTTACAAAGTCTTACTGTCTCCTTGCCATTTTTGGTGTGCTAGCAATAACTTCTGTAATTTTTAGGCAATTCTTTGAGATTTATTATTTACTATTCCAGTAAAGGAATAAACTTAGGCTTGTTGAGTGATGGATATGTATGGCACAAATCCAAGGCACTGCCTTGCTCTCAAGGAGCCTGTCACCAGCTGGTGAGTACAGGTCACACACAGGAATAACTAGTGCAGGTAGAAAGTAGGTATTCTAATGCAGAAATAAAGATCTTTGGGTGCCTCCTACATGGAGAAGAGTGTTAGAACAATTGATATTGAAGCATTTATAGAGAATGGCAAGCCATTTGTTTTGCTGGATAATACTGTGGGGTAAATAGAGCTGTAGGAAATGAGTGTGGAATTGTAGGTTGAGGCCATTGCATTAATAATACATTCAGAGGTGTGCTGATTCTGGCAGTTGTGTGCAGAATATGATATAGGAAAACAGATGGTATTCTTTGATTCACTAACTCTTTATCTTCCAGCATGCACTTTCTGGACATGCCAAAGTAAAGCCCTTTGACCCCAAGATTACCTGCAAGCAGGAATGTCTCATCACAACTTTTCAGGATGTCTACTTTGTATCTGAAAGCTTTGAAGATGCAAAGGAGAAGATGAGGTAAAGTCTATCTTCCCCATGCCTTAATTTTCCTCTGCAAAACCTAGGTCCAATAATGATCACAAATCACAGAAGTAAGCAACTGAGTAATTAGAAGCCTACTAGATGCCTTTTGCTTGTAACACATCTTCCTTTCACAACAAGTATTTAGAGTATGTTGTTTACAATGATAGTTGTAAATTGTGAGCCAGAAACATCAAGAAATTGGTTTCTTCCCATTTCTTCCAGTCAGAGAGTTTATAATCTAACAGGAAAAAACAAACAAACAAACAAAAAACTATACACAAATTCCTGTACAACGAAAGAGAAAGCCTTAGAGGAGGAGATATGTAGGAAACATTGTTCTGCATCTTATTCATGAGCAATTCATTCCAGCTAGGGGAACAGAGAAAGCGAATGGCATTTTAGAAAATACATAGAGGATAGATAGGATTTTGATATGTTAAGTTTTAGGCTAAGGGACAGCATACAAAAGGTAAAGAGGTGGAAAAATATAGGAAATGCGGGATGAAATCAAAGCTATGCTTTAGAGGATTCCAAAATGGAAGCTACACAGACCGTCTCCCAGGACCAAACTGGAATTACAACTAAAATAAAAACAAATCGATGGGAAAAAGCAACAGAAAATCAGCTTGCAAGGATCATATAACCAGGGACACTGACTTGATCCTGGTAGGATTGCGGAGGTGCGAGAGGGGGGCTGGGAGTGCATGGAGAGCAGTGGCCTTAGCTGTGAGCAGCACCCTCAGGTTACACTCCCCCAAGTGGCTCCACACTGCAGAGCCAGGACAGACGCTGAAATAGCCACAGCCACTCACCTTGGGTTCCAACAGAGGGAGGGCGGATTGGACTGGAACTGTATGGGGACACTCAGATTTGGAGGGGGCTCAGAGCTGTTGCTGAGTTGCAGCCAGGCAGGACGGTGGCCATCTTACTCCTTCCTAGGGCTCTGGGGAGAGGCAGTGGCCCCTCCCTCAGAGATTCAACCTCACTCATTAAAACGCAAATTGAGGTTCATTAACAACCAGCATCTGCCCCACCCTTGGGAAATCCCCTTACATTGAACACCTGAGAAAGTTTTTCACTCAACGGAGAAGCCAAGGCTCTTCAAGAAACCTCTACTGATAGCCTCCAGGCAAAAAACTAGAGGATAACTGTACCATTCATGGGCTAGCAATGCTAACCAGGAAAGTAAGACTTGACAGTGGTGTTTAACGTGGGTCCTCCCTTGCTCATCCAAACCAAGGAGAGGGAGCCACAAACAGCAGAACACCAACACCCACAGGGAAAATTTGGCAGGCTCCAGAGCCCACTGTGATAGCCAAAAAGTGAAACAAAGAAACAAAAGCCAAATGAAAGAACAAGAGACCTCTACCAAAGATGAGATAAATGTGGAGCAGTTAAGCAAGTTAACAGAGCTAGAATTCAGAGCCATGATCTTGAGGAAGCTCAAAAGCATGAGTAAGGACATAGAAATGTTGAAAAATCAACCAACTGGAAATTAAAAACCACCAAGAAGAACTCAAGAATGACATATCAGAAATAAAGAACACATTGGAAGGTCTAAACAGCAGAGTAGAGGAAGCTGAGGACCGGATCAGTGAATTAGAAGACAGGGTAGAAAAAAATCAACCAATCAGAAAACCAAAAGGAAAAAACGATTAAAAAACAGGAAGACAGCTAAAGAGAATTGTGGGACAACATAATAATATTCACATCATAGGAGTCCCCGAAGAAGAAGAAAATGAGCAAGGATTAGAAAATATATTTGAAGAAAGAGTGACAGAAAACTTTCCTAATTTGGTGAAGGAAGAAGGCATTCAAGTTCAAGAACACAGAGAGAGCCCCAAGGAAGAAGAACCCAAACAGGCCCACACCAAGACACATAGTAATCAAACTGCCAAAAATTAAAGACAAAGAGAGAATCCTAAAAGCATCAAGAGATAAGCAATAGGTTACCTACAAAGGAACCCCCCCATAAGGCTCTCAGCTGACTTCTCAACAGAAACACTACAGGCCAGAAGGGAATGGCATGAAATAATCAAGGTCATGAAAAACAAGGATCTGAATCCAAGACTACTCTACCCAGCAAGGCTATCATTCAAAATAGAAGGTCAAATAAAGAGCTTTCCAGACACAAAAAGGCTAAGGGAATACATTAGCACCAAAGAAGCACTGCAAGAAATGTTAAAAGGACTGTTGTAATTAGTAGAAGAAACAGGAAGAAAAATATAACCACCCTAAACTAAAATGGCAATAAATAAGTACATATCAATAATCACCTTAAATGTAAATAGACTGAATGCTCCAATAAAAAGACACAGAGTAGTTGATTGGATAAGAAAGCATGACTCATTTATATGTTGTTTACAAGAGACCCACCTCACAACAAAAGACTCACATAGGTTGAAAGTGAAGGGATAGAAAAAAACCTTCCAAGCAAACGGAAAGGAAAAAAAAGCTGGGGTAGCAATACTCATATCTGATAAAATAGATTTCAAATGAAGACCATAACTAGAGACAAAGAAGGGCACTACATAATATTGAAAGGATCTATCCAACAGGAAGATATAACCTTGGTAAACATATATGCACCCAATATAGGAGCACCAAAATATATTAAAAATCTTTTGGAGGACTTCCAAGGACAAATCGTAGCAGAGGACTTCAACACCCCGTTGACATCAGTGGATAGATCCTCTAGACAAAAAATTAGCAAGGAAACAGAGACTTTAAATGAAGCACTAGACCAAATGGATTTAATAAATATCTACAGAGAATTACACCCCAAAACTACAGAATTCACATTCTTCTCAAGTGCACATGGGACATTCTCAAAGATAGACCACATGATAGGACACAAACTAAATCTCTTCAAGTTCAAGAAGATTGAAATCATATCAAGCATCTTCTTAGATCACAGTGGCATGAAACTAGATATCAATTGCAACAAGCACATGCAAATACATTTGAACATAGTATGTTATTAAACAATGATTGGGTTACCGAGGAGATCAAAGAAGAAATAAAAAACTTCCTGGAAACCAATGAAAATGAACACACAACAACACAAAATCTATGGGATGCAGCAAAAGCAGTTCTGAGAGGGAAGTTCATAGCACTACAGGCCTACTTCAAGAAACAAGAAAAATTTCTAATAGACTATCTAACCTCACAACTTAAAGAATTAGAAAGCAAACATAAAACCCGAGAGCAAATAGAAGGAAGGAAATAATAAAGATCAGAGCAGAAATAAATGACTAGGGACCAAAAAAAAAACAAAAAACAATTCAAAGGATCAATGAAACAAAGAGCTGGTTTTTCAAAAAGATAAACAAGATTGATGGACCCTTAGCTAGACTCACCAAGAAACAGAGAGAGAACCCATATACACAAAATCAGAAATGAAAGAGGAGAAGTAACAACTGACCGCACAATAATACAAAAGATCATTAACAACTACTATGAACAATTATATGGCAATAAATTTGACAATCTAAGCAAAATGGACAAATTTCTAGAAACACATAGTGTCCCAAAACTAAACTGGGAAGAGACAGAAAACTTTAACAGACCAATAACAACTAAGGAAATTGAAGAGGTAATCAAGACTTTCCCAGCAAACAAAAGCCCAGGCTCGATGGCTTCACTGGGGAGTTTTACTGAACATTCAAAAAAGAACTAACACCCATTCTCTTCAAACTATTTTTAAAAATTCAAGAAGAAGGAAGACTTCCAAACTTGTTTTATGAGGCCAGCATAATTATAATTCCAAAACCAGAAAAAGACACAACAAAGAAAGAAAACTACAGGCCAATATCCCTGATGAACATAGATGCCAAAATTCTGAACAAAATACTAGCAAATTGGATCCAGCAATACATCAAAAAAATTATTCACCATGACCAAGTGGGTTTCATCCCAGGGATGCAAGGTTGGTACAATATTCACAAATCAATAAATGTGATACACCACATAAATAAAATGAAGAATAAAAACCACATGGTCATATCAATAGATGCCAAAAAAAGCCTTCAACAAAATCCAGCATCCATTTCTGATAAAAACGCTCAGCAATGTGGGAATAGAGGGATCATATCTCGACATAATAAAGGCCAATATGCAAGACCGACAGCCAACATCATACTCAAAGGGCAGAAACTAAAAGCATTTCCCTTAAGAACAGGAACAAAACAGGGATGCCCACTTTCGCCACTCTTATTTAACATAGTACTGGAAGTCTTAGCCACAGCAATCAGACATGAAGAAAAAGTAAAAGGGATCCAAATTGGAAAGGAGGAAGTGAAACTGTCATTATTTGCAGATGACATAATATTATACATAGAAAACCCTAAAGACTCCATCAAAAATCTACTAGACTTAGCCCTGGCCAGTTTGGTTCAGCAGTTAGAGTGTCGGCCTGCGGTCCAGAGAGGCCCGGGTTTGGTTCCTGCTACGGGCGCGTACCTTGGTTGTGGTTTGTCCCTGGCCCTGGTTGGGTTGTGCGGGTGGCAGCCACGCAATGTGTCCCTTTCATGTCAATGTTTCTCTCTCTCTCTCCTATGTCTCCCTCCCGCTCTGTCTGAACAAGGAATGGAAAAAATGTCCTAGGGTGAGGATTAAAAAAACAACAACAAACTACTACACTTAATAAATGAATTTGGCAAAGTAGCAGGATACAAAATTAACGTCAAGAAATTGATACACCAATGATGAACTCACAGAAAGAGATACTGAAAAAACAATCCCATTTACCATCGTGGCAAAAAAATTAAGATACCTAGAAATAAAATTAACCAAAGAAGTAGAGGACCTATTTGCAGAAAACTACAGGACACTGAAGAAAGAAATAGAGGAAGATATAAAAAAGTGGAAGCACATACCTTGTTCATGGATTGGAAGAATTAACATCACTAAAATGTCCATATTACCCAAAGCAATCTATAGATTCAATGCAATCCCCATCAAAATATCAATGACATATTTCACAGAACTAGAACAAATACTTCAAAAGTGCACATGGAACCAAAAAAGACCCCAAATAGCCACAACAATCTTGTAAAAAAAGGACAAAATAGGTGGGATCACAATACCGGATATCAGATTATACTACAAAGCTACCGTGACCAAAACAGCCTGATACTGGCAAAAGCACAGGCATATAGACCAGTGGAACAGAACAGAGAATCCAGAAATGGACCCAAGACATTATGTTCAATTAATATTTGGCAAAGGAGGCAAGAGCATACAATGGAGTAAAGACAGCCTCTTTAATAAATGGTGTTGGGAAAATTGGACAGCTACATGCAAAAAATGAAACTAGACCATCAACTTACACCATACACAAAAATAAACTCAAAATGGATAAAAGACTTAAGTGTGACACGTGAATCCATAAAAATTCTAGAAGAAAATGTAGGCAACAAAATTTCAGACATTATACGCAGCAGAATGTTCACTGATACATCACCTAAGGCAACAGAAACAAAGGGAAAAATGAACACATGGAACTACATCAAGCTCAAAAGCTTCTGCACAAAAGAAACAACCATCAAAATGGAAAGGCTGTATGGGAGAGCATCATTGCCAATGATATATCAGATAAGGGGTTAATTTCCAAAATATATAGAGTACTCATACAACTCAACAAAAGGAAGACAAAGAACCCAATTAAAAATGGGCAGAGGAACTAAATAGACACCTCTCCAAGCAGGACATACAAATGGCCAAGAGACATATGAAGAAATGCTCAACATCACTAATCATCAGAGAGATGCAAATTTAAACAACAATGAGGTATCACCTCACATCTGTCAGAATGGCCGCCACCAACAAATCATCAAACAACAAGTGTTGGCGAGGGTGTGGAAAAAAGAGGACTCTAGTACACTGCTGGTGGGAATGCAGACTGGTGCAACCACTATGGAAAACACTATGGTGTTACCTCAAAAAATTAAAAATTGAACTTCCATTTGACCCAGTGATCCCACTTCTAAGAATATACCCTAAGAAGCCTGAAACACCAATCAGAAAGAATATATGTACTCCTATGTTCATAGCAGCACTATTTACAATAGCTAAGATCTGGAAACAGCCCAAGAGTCCATCAGTATATGAATGGATAAAAAAGTGGTGGTACATATACACAATGGAGTACTATGCAGCTGTAAGAAAGAAAGATCTCTTATCTTTTGAGTTGACATGGAGGAACCTGGAAAGTATTATCCTAAGCGAAACAAGCCAGGCAGAAAAAGACAAATACCACATGATCTCACTTATTTGTGGAATATAATGAACATAACAATCTGAGGAATAGGGTAGATCCAGAGACGTGGAAGTAGGGAACAGACTGAAAACCCTCAGAAGAGGGGGTGGTGGGGAGAGGAAAGAGATAAACCACAGAACTTATATGCATGTATGCATAACCAATGGACATGGACAACAAAGCTGGGGACAGGGTGGGGGGGATGGGGAGGTGGGTGTCAATGGGGTTAAAAAGGAGAAACATCTGTAACTAAAAAAAAAAAAGCTATACTTTATTCATTAGCTAAGTGTGTTGTTAAGAAAGGAGGGTATTGCAGGTCGAGAAACTACTTAGATTCATGCAATGCTTCAGGTGAAAATAAAAGCCTGAACTAAGATAGAGATTGTAGGAAAGGAAAGGATTGTAGAGGAAGAATAAACAAAACAATATTTGGTGGAAGGGACCATGAGATCATATTGTGACAAATGTGGCATCTTTGTGCAACTAAAAGAGGGGTCCCCTCTGGGTAGACCAGGTGGGTTGCAAGCTGGATTTCATCCTCCACTCGTGTAATTGGCCTGAGCTGTATGATTATCTCTAGGGATCCTGAACATGACTATTCTTGGGTGTGCCAAATGAGAGGTTCACATTTTGACTTGATAAAGGAAGGAGAACTTTCATGCCTGAAGAAAGGGTCGAATTTAGGTCATTTTAGAGAAGGTTAGAGGAAACATTCTAAGCAGAAAAAATATACATGTACAGGAAGCAGGATTGTTCTCAACCTGTTTCAGTGTGTGTGTGTGTGTGTGTGATTGTGTAGTTATGTAAATCACAACTGACAGATCTGTTACCATGTAGCCGGTGTTGTCATTGTTTACTGATAAAGCTGCTGTTTCTTAAAATAGTTGAGATGTATAAAGTAATACATTGTTAATAAAGCCATCCACAGGATCTTTCCCTAGTAATGCAGGGGTAGATGTGCCCATGAGGACTGTAGGCCTTCTACCTGATGGGATTCCACGGTGCCTCTGCACATGCAGTGTGGGAAGTAGGTCAGATTGGAAGCATGAACATCTAGATTTGTCTTTTGCCTAGTGTGTGAAATAGGTTTGCTGTTAGTTTTCACTGTTTCCCCCCCTAGAAATTGATTGCCTTTTATTTGTTTTCTTAAATAGAGAATTTACCAAAACAATTAAGCGCCCATTTGGAGTGAAGTATAATCCGTATACCCAGAGTATTCAGATCTTGAAAGACCCCAAGAGCATAACCAGTACCGGGAATGAGCTGCGGCCTGATCTTGATGTTTGTCAGTGAAGCCCTTGCCAAAGTCAGCCGGCAGCTGAGCATCTGACCATTGCCAGTCCTCATCCTGAGAGCACATCTGAGCATCAATTCGGAGGCCTGTGGGCAACTCTTGCTTTTCTTGAAGACTTGGACATGGAGGGATAGCAGCCAAACAATATCTTCTACTCCCATTCCTTAATGGCTCATTAGTCTTTGAAAATTTGTACCTGGATACTCTAGCCACCACCTTTTTTTTTTTTTTTGGTAATAGTTTTAGTGAAATACTCACGTATCATACAATCCACTGACTACCTTTTATTTTATTTTTATAGAGAAGCTGTTTGACCCAATGGATATATTTAGTCCCAGCCTGATTCTATTTATTCAATCCTTCTTGAGTAAAATGACCTTTATGATCACTAAAAATACCTTCACAGGAGTGTCAACAAGAAAAAAAAAAACTTTCCTCGGTATTATGGAGCTGGTTCATATTGTTACCTAAATCCTTTTATTTCTAAACTATCTTACTTATCACAGAATTTGTGCCAAACTCCATCACATTCACATACTTAAATTTAATAAGAGACCAGCTGCTAGCGTGAACAACAGTACAGGGGGCTTTGCTCATGAAGCATACCTGGTGAAGAGCGAGTGGTCTAGCTGCAAGTGTGGTGTCTTGTAGGGAAGTAGGAGTAGCTAAGTTTGGAAAGGTCGACTGAGGTATAACCTTAAGACCAGGGTAAGAATTTGGGACTTTATTTTGTAGGCACTAGGGAGCCCATTCCCAATTGACAATCCTCCTTAAAACTTTCTTTTTCTATGGCATTGCATGACACTGGCTTTATTTTAGATTATCTGTCCTACTCATGGGGCCAAGAGAACTTGGGGGTTCCACTTGCAAGACCCTGTACTACTCAGACATGTAGCATGTGATGGGTTTTCCTCGGGTTAGCAGGAGACAGTGTTGTCAAAGGGAGAGTTCCAACTGAGACAGATGAGAGAAGCACAAAGTTAAAGTTGGAAAAGCAGTGCCAAGATCTTTATTTCCAAGGTATAAGGTGAGCCCGTAAATAGGAAGGCAAGCCATGAGGGTAGAGGGTCGGGAAACATGTAGGAAGTGGAATGTAAGAAAGGTCAAGAAGAGCATTTTAGGACCAACAATGTAATAATGCCGGATTGATTTTTATGTGGTGTCAGCTGTGTAGTACAGGGAACAGACCTAATAAAAGAGATGAAGCTGGACTCCCAAATACTCGCCGTGTCTTTTTAATTTGCTCCCTTCCTCCCCCACCCCCAATGATGACTTTCCTCAAGTGTCTGTCTTTGGCCCTCTTCTCTCTCTCTTATCTCTTCTTGGGAAGTGTCATCCACGTCCATGACTTCAGTTCTTATTTTGTATGATTTCTGTATTTGCATTTTTAATCCTGATATATTTCTTGACTTTTTGCCTCTTAATTCCAGCCTGCTGGATATCTCTGTCCAGATGTCCCATAAATTCGGCCTGTGTTGTACAACTTTTTGAAGCACCATTCACAGAATAAAATGGGGTTGTGCAACATAGAAGCCCTGCCAAATATCTCAAACACAACAGGACCCAAAAGAAACTCAGAATTACCTGGATATTATACCCTATCAGAGTCTTCCCCCAGTGATCTTGTTTCTATTGATCATATATGAAGGATCATATTTTCAGCCAATTTTCCAGTCCTAAGAAACTGTGTCCTTATTTTTTTCCACATTAATAGTCAAATTATAGCCCTGGCCAGTTTGGCTCAGCGGTTAGAGCGTCAGCCTGCGGTCCGGAGAGACCCGGGTTCGGTTCCCGCTAAGGGCACATACTTCGGTTGCAGTTTGTCCCCGGCCCTGGTTGGTCGTGCGGGTGGCAGCCACTCGATGTGTCCCTTCACATCGATGTTTCTCTCTCTCTCTCCCTTCCTCTCTCTCCCTCCCACTCTATCTGTATAAGAAATGGAGAAATATCCTCGGGTGAGGATAAAAAAAAAAAAAGTCAAATTATATATCCTTTAACATGTTTTAATCCTTTTTAGACTTCAAAAGAAATTACAAAAATCTTAAAAATTCCTTTCATTTTATGTTATGCTAGGAAATAGAATTGGGAAAGGTAATTCATACTATTTTATATTTTTATATTACTTGTAAATTTTGATAACTGATTAATGGTTAAAATATTTTTATACTAAATAGATGTAAGTTATATGTAATCTAAATCATTTAAAATATCCATTACCTAATTTATAGTTGGTTGCAAGGAATCTTTTGTAAGGCAAACGGCGATAGATGGCAAACAGTATCTGGTTATTTTCATACAACTTTGATTATGGTGAAGAATCATAGTTACTGGATTTTAAAATGAGGGTATTTAGCCTGGCTGGTTTGGCTCAGTGGTTCGAATGTTGGCCCGCTGACCAAAGAGCTGTGGGTTTGATTGTGGTCAAGGGCATGTACCTTGGTTGCAGTGCAATCCCCGGCCCTGGTCAGGGTCGTGCTGGAGGCAGCCAATTAATGTATTTCTTTCACATTGACTTCTCTCTCTCTCTCTCTCTCTCTTTCTCTCTCTCCCTCTATCTGAAAAGCAATGGAAAAATATCCTTGGATGAGGATTAAAAAACAAACAAATAAAATGACAGTATTTAAAATCATTCTATGACTAAAGCATACGAAAACAAATATATAAAGGCACAACAATTATAATTCACAACTTCAGAACAATGGAAGTATTTAAGAATTAATTTCAGTTCTTCAAACCTCTGAATTTGTGATATTTAGTAAATCAGGTATTCTGAGAATCTTAGAATTTTCATGCACTTAAAATATATGTCTTCAAAGCATCTAGGAATAGAATGGAACCAACAGTTCGGTTCACAATTCTTTATTCTTTCTCTACCCTGTTGCTCGCGGTTGAAAGGACCGCCAGTGGGGAACAGTTGGCCCCAGTTCTGCACAAGCATGTGCTCTGGCACCGCAGCCTGATCCCAGGTACCACGTGTAGGCGCAGTGGTGGTTCATAATTCTTAATCAGTGACTTGTTACTCAGACACCATGATATTTATTTTTTTGACTTTTTGAAGAAAGCTCCAAAAGCTGGTCATCAGAATGCCTACATTTCTTAATCTGCCTATATTGTCATTCCCAATTGTACAGTAGTAATGATCCACCAAAATATACAGAATTGGAGGTAATTTTTAAGTTGGCTTCCAAATTAGAAAAAGAAAAAAATCCTGGAATATTTTAAAGAACATATAATAGAGTTCATTTGTTTACTTTCTAGGAAATATATAAAGATACTGTGGTCTATATCTGTCTAGTTTTTGTTCTGCTATGTAATATATATTTATGACTGGCAAATTTGTTATTCCACTGGATAATAAATGGATAAAAATTCATGTCCTCAGCAAGCATTTATTTTTTGTCAAACATGTTAAAACTGATTTAAATATATTAGCAATTGTATTAGTTTAAAAAATCTGTCACATCCTTTTACTTAAAAAAAAAAAGCCTATGGATATATAAGATAAGGGAACCCAAACACACCTGGAAACTAGTCACCATTTCTTGGGATTCTTAGTTGAGTTTCAATCTCATGATCTTCATCTATAAAATGAACTAAATCTACTTCACTGTGTTATTGGAGGAATTGTGTTGTGAATTATGTATTATCCATATCCATATATGTAAAGAATAATTAATATAATCACTCTCCTAATCGGAGATCCTCCATAGCTTCTGGATGATTTTATTTTCTTCTGGAAGGAATTAACTTTTACCTCTAGCAGGCAGTATGTATATCATGGCATGGAAAGATCTTCTTAGTCCAATTAGGGATGAAGCTAATTTGAAGTGGAGCTTCAGTCTTTGTGAGGGCTGGTCTATTTCCAGTTTGCCTCTGCTCTTAGGGTGCAGACCTTTAGGGATTCCAAAGGAAAACTATGGGTGTGTCCTAGAACTTCTCCTTGGAAACCCTAGACTTCTAGTTGTGTCCCCTCCTTCATCCTCATTCCCCCACTTCCATCAGATTACTCAAGGACTGTTCAGCTTTTCAGTTTCTCTGCTGCTGCTTTCAGCCAGTTTCTTAGCCTCTAAGTCACTGCTTGTTAATTAGCAAATGCTACAAGCAGAAAAGTGCCAATTATAATCTTTCAGCTTCCAGACATTGGCCCTTTAAGTTCTGGCTGCTCTGATAGTTCTCCAATTACTTGAAACAGATTTTTAAAATATGTTCCCCAGGGTGGAGAGGTGTGGGTGGAGGTGGACGAAGGTTTAGGGGGATAAATGGTAATGCCCCCGCCCCCTGGCTTTTCTAGTTGTTTTGATGAGAGATTTGGTCTGTAGCTAGCTAATCTGCCTTTATCAAAAGCATAAATCTGACATTAGAGTAAATCACTTAACTTTTTTGAGCCTAAGTTTTCTCATCTACAAAATAGTTATGATACTAACAATACTTATACCAGTAATATTGAGAGGATCAAATAAATAGTCTAATGAAAAAAACTTTCTAACCTGCATGGTGCAGAGATATAGTCTGTATGGTGCCAAATACTTTATATTTTCCTTTTATGGGGAGACAAGGTATCTGAAAGTAATACCATCAAATAGTTTAAATCTAGCCCCTTTCTGGAACTGCAGCTCAATCAGGCTGTTCATGGGAAGGCCTAGTCAGTGGCATGTATATAGTTGAAATAGTTGCAACATCTGAACACTTCCAAGAAATTGTATTAAGGGATATTACATTATGTAACTATAAGTTAGCTAAAGTATTGATGCATGTACATTTAAGGGGTGAAATAAGAAAACAACAGTATTCTCCCAGACCCTCTCTCTATTAAAACTGGCTCTGTGGGTAGTTTCTCCTTGCCCCTTTGGATGAAATCTCAGGTCCTGGCCTTGAATTTTCTGCTCACCCTTAGTCCTTAACTTCAAATCAATCAATCTCTCCCCTCCCACCTCTCTTTAGTATTTTAAAAAATCCAGTCTTATGTAAAAATTCAAAACGTTAAAGTTAATCTAAGTTTAGCTTTTTTTTTTTTTAGAACTGAGACAGGAAGGGGTGTGCTTAGCTTCTTTATTTTTTTGCTCCTCCTTTCCCACTCACTAGGATGCCTCTGGCTCCTCCAGGATTTGGAAATGGTGGTAGGAGAGGTAAGGAGCAGAAAACTTTTTTTTTTTTGGTCTGATACTGTTGAGTTGGCATCAGTGCTTTTTGTGCTGACTCACTCTCTGTGGGTGTTTTGGAAGACCTTTCCACCTTCTTATTTCTTGGGATCTCTTGATGTGGGTAAATGTACCTCTCTGACTGGCTATTGAATTCATGTCTCTTAGCCTGTAAGAATCTAGTGGTCAGTTCTCTTGGAGTGTCACTCCAGCCCTCCAGAATTCCTAAGAATATTGCTTGGCTAAAATGTTCATGCATGGGAAACACTCACATGGCAGATGCTCAGACATTCTTTATTATGAAAAATTGGGCATGAAAGACTTCTCCAAAACATCAATGTCTCTTTGTTCAACTATCAGAACAGTTATCTGACTATAAACCATTGGATTTCTTAGCACAAATTGTACAGCGGCCTGTTTGAGTCCCGATTTGGAGGGATACAGACCAAGCTCTCCAAGTAGCCCTGATGAAGCGTGCCTTTCTTTAGACATGAGATGGGTGTGAACTCAGAGCACACTGACAACTATTGCCAAATATCCTATCAGAATTACTTCTCAGCCCCTCCAATCTCTTTCATAGACTGGATGTCATGCACTGTTTTCTAGATACCTTCACAAATTATGCTTTGGTAGTCTTTTTTTTTTAATGTGTTTTTTTTTTCTTTATTGATTTTAGAGAGAGGAAGAGAGAAGGAGAGAGAGACAAAAAAAAAAAAATCAATAAGAGAGAACATCAACTCACACCTCCTGCATGCCCCCAGTGGGGATTGGGCCCACAACATGGGCATGTGCCCTGACTGGGAATCAAACTGGCAACCTCTTGGTGCATGGATCAACGCTCAATCACTGAGCTACACCAGCCAGGCTACTTTGGTATTTTTATATCTCACTTTATAATGTGGGGGTAATGGACATTTATTGACTTGGGGGGTCTCAGTCAAAACTGAGACAGGAAAGGTCCCATTTTTATGTCCTATTACACATACTTGAAAGAAATTGTCAGAACAAAAAAGGCCAATCTTATAAAACAATAAGCAAACATGGTATAGTTTTTGCACATCAAGGTCCCCGAGAACAAAGAGCGGTTGTACTTTTCTATAGTTTGTATTTTTCTCAGCATGGTTTTCTTAGCATGGCCACAGGCTGGAGAGGTAAAGGCGAGGAGCTGTCCTCAAGTGGTCTTACAGACAGAAATGAAGAGGAATGGTGGTATAAAAAAACAGGAAAGAATTGTGTTAAGAGCTCCCCTGAGACACTTTCCAGGGCTTCCAGGCATAAAGGGTGATGAGTACTGGAGGCTTGTGTCATCAGAGGGCTCAAGAACTAGTGAATTTGGATTATCATCCTTAATGTGATCCCATTTGTACCCACAAAGTAATGTGTAGCTTGGAAATTGCGGGTTATATACAAAAAAGTACCCCCCTCCCCCCAAAAAAATCACCTGTAATTCACCACCCTGAGCGTGTGCGTGTCTGTATGGAAAATTGGTATAATACTTACTTTAATGATATATCATGAATATTTCTCTTATTTAATGTCTTCCAAAATATTTTTAAATGGCAGCCCGGTATTCTATCACTTGGCTATGCAACCAATTTATTTTTGGTCTTCCAGGTAGTAAGTTCTTTCCCATTATACGTAACTCTATAATGAATCACTTGCAGTTTAAGTCTTTGTGCACAGTTCTGATTATTTTCTTGTGATAAATTAACAGACGTGGAATTACTGGGTAAATATCTATCTTTATATTCCTAATATGCACTGCCACATTGTCCTTCAGCAAAATTGCGTATATTTAGCTCCCACCAAAAGTGTATGAGAGTGTCTGATAAAAGCCATTTTATATGAAAATCTTCGTTGGGCAAAAATTATCCAGTATTGATCAGAATCAGGGCAGGGCCTGCTCGGAGCACCGGAGTTAGATGGCTGCCCCAGCAGGAATCCACGAGAACCAGCCTCCTTAGCGTTAAATTCCCGATCCGTTTCAGGCACTGAGGTCGACACCAACGGTGTAAGACACTATCCTCGTCTACCAAGAATCGCCCCCAAAGCAGACCCAACAGTTCTGCCTAAGACTCTGGAGCAGGACCCTTGCCACCCCTTCTCAGGCTCAATTTCTTCCCCATCAAATGGTGAAGGCCTGTCAGCCCCTCTGGGCTGTCTTGGGACTCCAAGGAGATAAAAATGTGAAGGAGCATGGTGCAATTGTATAGGATTATTACTAAAAATAAAGGCAAAGAGAGACGTAACTACCCGGCAGAACAGGAGGCCGGGGGTGGAAACGCTTAGAGCGCGCCGGGGCGGGGCCACTGGGAGGCAGATGGGGCGGTGGCTGTCGGGCTCTCGCCCGCTCTTGATTCGCGGCGGCACGAGGGCGCGGCCCGCCGGCCCCGCCCACCCTCCGCGCCGGCCCCGCCCCCCGCGCGGGACCCTCCCGGAAGCGTCAGTGGAGCGTCCCCGCATGGAGCACGAGCCTAGCGCCTCGCAGGCCACCCCCGCTCGGGCCGCGCTCTTCGCCTGGGTGCGTGACTCCGCCCCCGCGCCGGGGTGGCTGGGACTGAGGGGCCCGCTGAGGCTGGAGCTCCGGGCCTCAGCGTGGGCGGTTCTGGGTTGGGCGGCGGAGATTCGAGCCCGGTTCTGGCTCTGGGTTGGAGGATCCTGGGCTGGGGGCGGAAGAGGAGAAGGCGGGAGGGAAGGGTCTTAACGGGTGATTTAGGGGGCCTGCTGGCTGGTGGGGTCCGGACCGGAGGGGCTGCGGCTCAGTGGGAAGAACCTGCCTCCAGGGCAGAGCAACTGGTTCCTCGAGAGCTCCGGGAGAGACAGCGTGGATGGCTCTGAAGAGAGCATCGCCGGGTCTCGGAGCCGAGTGGGTCACCTGTGCTCCGCACCCTCCTGTTGGCTGGAGGATAGGGCCTTTCCCCAGCCTCACCTCAGCCTGGCGGGAGCATCCTTGGACGTGAGGCCTGCGGTGTTTGGCGGTGCACAAGGCAGAGACCCTGCATAGTTGCTGCTATTCTGCTGTGACCGGATCTTGCCTGTGCTGGGGGAGTGGGAGTCTGCGCGGGTATTGGTTTGACAGGCACCAGGCGCCGTGAGAGACACTGTCATCTTTGTGTGCCTGGCTGGGAGAGAGGAGGGTCTCTGCACAGGCGAGTGTGGCAGGTACCCGACCAGATGCACGGGTACAAGCAGACGTGTTAGTTCTTCATAGCACGTATCCCAATTGTAATGGAATATATAATTTGTTAATGTCAGTGTCCTTGATAGAATGTAAGCATCATAACGGTGGGTACTGTGCCTGTCTTGTTTACGGTGCCTGGCACATGGTAAGGTGCTCAGTAAATATTTGTTGACTAATAGCTGAATGAGAGTACCTGTTGTGTGTGAGCTATGTGCTGATCTATTGGGAAAAACACGACTGAAAGACTTACAGCTCTCAAGTTGGGGTGAGGGGTGAAGTGGGGAGATACCTATATTGCTGTTAAAATCAGTATATATTCACTAATTAAAAAAATGTAATTATCAGTACAAGGAAGCACTTGTTGAATGTAAGGCCCAGACTGGCAGAAGGGAGAGTGTGGTGTGGCTTGAGGGAGTCTGGCTGTCTGAGTATCTTTCAGGTGGTACTTGAACCGGGGGTGGAGTTGGGGATTGAATGTGTGCCTGGGGTGGGTGGTGTCTCTGGCTTTTCCCAGGCCAGAAACCGGTCTGTGTGGACAGAGGAAACATCAGACAGCTAAAGCCTTTCAGATATGGCCTTGTCTGTACTGAAACAAAAAGATTGTTGAACCTGACCCCACTGCTGTGCTTGGAGACCTGATGGTATATTCTTCCAGCTGCGTTATATGTGTGGAGGGATATATTAGTTTGCTAAGGCTGCCATAACAAAATACCACAGACTGAGTGGTTTAAACAGAGGAAATTTATTTTCTCACAGTTCTGGAGGTCAGAAGTCCAAGATCAAGGTGTGAGCAGGTTCCATTTCTTCTGAGGTCGCTCTCTTTTCCTTAGAGATGGCAGCCTTCTTGCTGTGTGCTCATATGGATTTTTCTCTGTGTGAGAGCATCCCTGTGTTTTGTCTTATAAGGACACCAGTCATACTGGTTTAGGACAGCATTTTTATGACCTCATTTACCCTTAATTACCTTTTAAAAGGCCCTATTTCCAAGTATAATCACTTTGTGAGCTACTGGAAGTTAAGGTTTCAACAAATAAATTTGAGGGAAACACAAGTCAACCGATAAGGAAATTTACATCCTTGGAGTTGTGTGTGTGTGTGTATGTGTGGTGTCTGGAGAGTTTATAAGGAAGGGAGGCAAAGAGAGCTGTAATAGGTTGTATTAAAATTTCCCTTTGTTTTGCTTTATCATGGATTTAGAGCCTCTTGCTGCATTACAAAAATGTGGTATCATAATTTGAATTCCATAATACCAGTATCTGACTTTCTGTTCAGCAGCCTGTAAACCTGGTAATGGGGCTGATGGAGAGATCCCGTGCATATGCTCTTCACACCATGCAAGCTTTTCATTTGATCTTTCCTAGGGAGGAACTCCTAGGGTCTTATATTCATTCACTATAAAATATATGCACACCTTTTCTGGGCAGGCACAGATTCAGATGCAGGGGAAACGGCAGTGAGCAAGATAAAGTTTCTGCCCTCAGGGAGTTTATTTTTTAGGAGGTAGACAGTAAATAAGTAAACATATAATGTCATGTCAGAGAGTGCAGTGAAGAAATATAAAGCACAAAAAAGTGATGAGAGTACTATTTTAGATAGGGTCATACAGTCAGCCTCTGTAAGCTCTGGGCTGGTTATATATGTACATATATGTATATGTATATATATATGTATATGTATATGTATTTATTTTTCTTTATTCTTAGAGCCAAAGTTGCCTACCCAACTATGTGACAATGGACAATTACTTAACCTCTCTGAGCCTTAGTTACCTCATCTGTACAATGATAGGACAATGCCCATCTCCTCTGTTGTTGTGAGAATTAAAGGTGATTGCCCAGCACAAGGAGAAGCACTCAGTAACTGGTAGCTAGTATTGCCTTTGAGACCTCTGGGACCTGTGTCCCTGCCATGGCTTGCTCTTCCAACGTGAGTCCTTGCAGCCCAGGATGACTGTAGAAGAGACCACAGGGGCAGGAATTTGTTTGTATGTATGTATGTATGTATGTATTTTTGTAGTTTTAAATCACTTTTCTTCATTCAGATGTTTTCAAAACAAACACATTTTAAAGGTTTTATTAGTCATCTCTAGGAAGAATCAGACAGAAGAAGATACTTGTAGAAATTATAAGGATTTCTGAAATCTTAATTAGATTCTCCCTGCAGGTCCACAATCCCTTATCTTTAATTTTGGAAACAAAAAGCTCTGACCACCCCAAACTGACCTGACATAGGCTGTTTATAGTCTTTGCCCACTTTACTGCAGGGATAATACTGTTTTGCTTATGAGGTGCTGCTCCCACACCTTGCAGAAGTGTATATGATTTATATATCATATTACTTTTCTAAAGTCTGTAAAATTCTGAATCTGAAACATATCTGGCTGCAAGGGTTTCAGATTAGGGGCTATGGACCTTTATTGTATAATAATGATAAACATATTGCCCACCAAAAGGAAATCTGTTCCCTTCCAGGGATCTTACTATGTGAATCTCAGAGTCACAAAACATAGTACTTGGGAAGGTCCTTAGAGATCATTGCCAGCCTCTTTCACTTACAGATGAAATGACAATGATGTGCCCTGCTTGAGGGTACAAAATCCTTAGCTAACTTTGATTACAGAAAGTCATTTCCCAGTGCTGTGCGGGGAGAAGGGACAAGAACTAGTCCTAGCATATTTCCCACCCACTTTGTTCCTATTTCATTATTTCTTTTCTTAGCCACCTCAGGTAATTCAATTTTGTCAGAAGGAACTCTTATGTTGTCCTCAAAAGCAACATATGGAGGCTGGGGCATTGGAAGGGGGAGGTGAGGAGTATCAATGGATAAGCTGTGGATGCTAAGGGCTCCTCTTACCTGGAAAGCACGGTGCTCTGGGGATGGGCCTTCCGTCTAAATGTGGGCTGCATGTAACAGCCTCTTAAGAATGAGCTTATGGCCCTGGCTGGTTTGGCTCAGCGGTTAGAGTATCAGCCTGTGGACCAGAGTCCTGGGTTCAGTTCCTGCTAGGGGCACGTACCAATAAATAAATAAATAAGGGGAAAAAAAGAATGAGCTTATGAAATTTTATTTGTATATAGGCTTTGCGATATTGTTGGGGTGAGAAAGATAGAGCCAGGTAAATAAACATTGACATTTGGGGTTCCCATACTTTGTTCATCCTTGGTTTATTTTATCCTTAGGGTGCAAATAGCTATGGGCAACTTGGCCTTGGCCATAAAGAAGATGTACTTGTGCCCCAACAACTGAATGACTTCTGTAAACCTGTGTGTGTCAGGAGGATCACAGGAGGAGGGGGCCACTCTGCTGTTGTCACAGGTAATTTTCCTTCAAGAGTAGATAGCTCCTCGTTCTCTTATTTAGACATTTTCCCCTAGGATGTCATATTGCCATATTTTAGCCTTTTGTATTTTTCAGAGGAAAAGATTTTTGTGAAGAACCAAGTCATAATCTGAGAATCTTAGATTGTCAGAGCTGAAAGGACGTCAGAGATCTTCTAGGCTCTTCTGAGGCTCCCCCCTCCTTCCCCCTCCCCACCTGTTACACAAATGAGGCTCAGAGAGGAAAACTGATTGCTTAACGTTATAAGATATATTAGTGGCAGAGCTGTAAAATATATCACATTTTATACCATATATTGCTATTTAACTTTCATATATGAGTTTGAAGTTTGCAATTAGCTTGAATATTCTTTGAGAGCAAGAACTTTGTATTATTCTTAATTTCCCTTGCAATATCTAGGATAGGACTATAATATTGTGCTATAATACTGTGAAAAAGGATATATTGCATCCTGGTTAAGAACATGAACTCTGGAATCAAACTTCTTGGGTTCAAGTCCTGGTTCTGTTATTTATTAGCTGTGTGGCCTTGGAGAAATTACTTAATTCCTCTGTGTGAGTTTCTTCTCTGTTATAAGGGGATAATAATGGTGGATAAGAAGAATCAATGAGTTAATGGTTACATTTTGACTTTTTTTTTTATCCTCACCAAGGACATTTTTGCATTTATCTTCAGATAGAGCAGGAGGGAGAGAGGGGGGAAGAGAGAGAAACATTGATGCGAGAGAGACACATTGAGTGGCTGCCATCCACACGACTCCAACTGGGACCGGGGACAAACTGCAATCGAGGTACATCCTCTTAGTGGAAACCCAACCCAGGACTCTCTGGTCCGCGGGCTGACGCTCTAACCACTGAGTAAAACTGGCCAGGGCAGCATTTTGACTTTTATGAGTCCTTGGCACTTTTGCTTTTGTGGACTCCTTTCTTCATAAAGAGATATTAAAAGTTGTATTTTACAACTGCATTGATATAAAGACTAATATAATCCAGGCTAGATTTAGTATTATATATTCATTATTATTACATTTATTTTTCATATTTTAAAAGAACTTAAAATTAAAACATTTTTGTGGGCCTCTAAAAGTATTGTGGGCCTTAGGCACTATGCCTAAAGGATAAGTTGGCCCCACATAGAAACCTCTTAGAATAATACTTGGCACATTCTAAGTGCAAAATGGATGTTGGCTTTATTGTTACAGTAGATGCTTAATTTGGTGATTGATTGGCCCCTACTGTAGCACTTGGAGTTTCCATTTAGATATTAGATTTGAGCCCCTTGGCCCAGTGCCGTTTTGTTCAGTGCACATTAACATACATGGCTTATTAACGTGGGTGGAAAAAAGGTTATTGGGTTTGTGTTTCCAAATAAATAGTGAAATCCTTTTGCTCGCTTTGGCAGTTGTAATTTCCCCTGTGCAGCAATCACCAAAGCTTTTGTATTTTGCAGATGGAGGAAGCCTTTTTGTTTGTGGCCTGAACAAAGATGGGCAGTTGGGACTTGGTCACATGGAGGATGTTCTATATTTTACACTGTGTAAATCCCTCCTTGGCTGTCCCATCCAACAGGTGGCCTGTGGCTGGGACTTTACCATTATCCTCACAGGTGAGTTCTCTCCTAGGTAATCTTTATCACCACAAAGGCTTTGAGTAAGAAGAGCATGATGATGGTGATACTGATGAAATGAAAGCCTCTTTAAAAAAAATTTTTTTTTTCTTTATTGATTTTTGAGAGAGGAAGGGAGAGGGAGAGAAAGATAGAAACATTGATGAGAGAGAACATCGATTGGCCACCTCCTGCATGTCCGCCACTGGGGATTTGGCCTGAACCTAGGAATGTACCCTGACCAGGAATCAAACCGGCGACCTCTTAGTGCATGGGTTGATGCTCAACCACTGAGCCACATGGGCTGGGCAGCCTCTTTGTGTTTATTTATTTATTTTTTTCCTCACCCGAGGATATTTTTCCATTTTTTGTTCAGATAGAGCAGGAGGGAGAGAGAGGAAGAGAGAGAGAGAGAAACATCGATGTGAAGGGACACATCGAGTGGCTGCCACCCGCACAACCAACCAGGGCCGGGGACAAACTGCAACCACGGTACGTGCCCTTAGCGGGAACCGAACCCGGGTCTCTCTGTACCGCAGGTCGACGCTCCAACCACTGAGCCAAACCGGCCAGGGCGCCTCTTTGTGTTTAAAAACACACACAGATGTTCTGTCTGGTTGTCAAGGAAAGTTCTGGGGTATCTTTTGCAAGGAGAGTTTAAATAGTAAAACTTGGGCTGGAAAACTTTTGCCGGAGACTGGGGAATGAACTGGATCACGGTTGGTAGCCACGTCCTGTCCCAGAAGTTCATAATAGCTGTGTGGCTGGGCTAGGCCAGCAGTGCCAGCTGCAGGTTACCCACTGGGGAAAGTTGTGGGAGTGTGAAGAAATCAGTGGTTGCCACAACAGTGATGGAAGCTTTTCCCCAGTGATGGATTTAAAAAAATATATGAATATGGTTGGACAGAACTGTTCCATCTCTGTGAAGCCAGATAGCAGAATAGGATATAGAGGGATATGGACAAGGGGTTAATAGAATACAGTCAGCCCTCTATATCCTTAGGTTTCATGTCTGAATTCAACTGACTGCTGATCAAAAACAATAGTACATGCAGTATTTTCAGTCAGTGGTTGGGAATTCGCAGATGCAGAGGGCCACCTGAATGCATTATTCTATGTTATTTTATGTAAGGGACTTGAGCATCCTTGGATTGGTCCTGGGACTGATCCCCTGCAAATACCGAGGGACCACTGTAATGCTCTTGGGAATCAGCTGACAATAGATACTTTGTCAGATGACTTCTCCCTGGAAGTAGTTTTGCCCCATTCTGGATTCAAAGGCCCATCTATAATTTCTGACTAAGGTCTCTCTTTGTCACACCCTCTGCCAAAGGCATCTTCTGACTATGTCACCCTGCCCACCAGTCCACACGCATAGCTCACTTCCCAATTTTTAGCACATGGCCTTCAGTGACTGTTCCTCACCTATTCCTGTTGTTGCCTTGGCTCTTATTCTCCTCACTTCCTATACTTTTCTTTCTGTTAATACCAAATAGTACATGTTCTCTGCTTGGAGTAGCCCCTCTAGTTTCTCGGTGAACTCTTACTCTGTCTTTAATACCCTGCTAGGGTGTCACCATCTCTATTCTGTGGAGGGGTTCTATAATGTGTGTTGAATTTGGTAGTGATTATTAGAATCTAAATAGTAGCTATCCTTTATGAAGTGCTCATTGTGGGCCTTTGTTGGGGTTGTAGGGAGTCATAGATAGCGCTCTATTTCCTGTTCATATTTGGAACCATTTGTGAGAAAGGTAGAGAGCAGTAGACAGGTGGAGATCAAACCATTGGCTTTTTACTGATAAAGACTAAGTTGGAGGCCAGGGTTAATTGTCAGGCCAAGTGGTTCTGCTAATACTCCTTTGATCCAAACTTATCCCCCAAACTCTAGGCCTTCCCCGTAGGGGAAACCCTTATTACGTGTCAGCCCAGAGTGCCTGAGAGGAAGGTGCCAAGCCACATGTGTCCTGGTCCTTCCTTCTCTCAAACTCACCAATTGGTTAGGTTACCACTTCTCTGCTAGAAAGCAGTAAGTATGGGAAGGGCAGAGAGAAAGGCCTGAAGTGTTAAAATAATAGAAATTGTGTTACCTGGAAACATGAGAAGTGGGTAAGTAGTATCCTCTGGTCCCAGCACTAGTCACTGGGCTAAGTGTCCTACACAGCTAGTCAGAATTAGGTCGTGTAGTGGGTAGTCTGTGTGACACAGCCGTGCCCAGGGATTTATTCCTGGAGCAACAACAAAAGCAGGGAAGGTGGTTTGAAGGTACTGAAGTGCAGGGCCCTAACTCCCTCCTCTCATTCCCTTTGCTTCTTCAGCATTTACCCACTGGTCATGGATCTTCTACTGCTTAGATGGTGATTTAAGTATTTGTATTTTGCAGAAAATGGTCAAGTTCTATCATGTGGATCCAACTCCTTTGGCCAATTAGGAGTTCCTCATGGGCCTCGAAGATGTGTGATTCCCCAGGCCATTGAAGTAAGGACAGCACCTATTATTCATCTTGCCCCCGTCCTGTTAAAGTGTCCAGGGTAGCCCTGGCCAGTGTGGCTCACTGGTTGAATGTTGACCCATGCACCAAGAGGTCGCCAGTTCAATGCCCGGTCAGGGCACATGCCCAGGTTGTGGGCCTGAACCCCAGTGGAGGTCATGCACGAGGCAGCCAATCAATGTTTCTATCTCTCCCTCTCTTTCTAAAATAATAAAGAGAAAAATTAAAAAAAAAAAAAAGGAGTTTCTAGGGTAGTATAGTTGTTCCTCCCCAGGCTGACTGGGTCCCTGAACACCCATGGGGTAGTTAGAATTTAAGTTGAAAAACAGGTTTTTCTGGGAAAAATTAGGTTGAGGGGAGTGAAGGTTGTGAGTGAAAAAACTTCTCTTAGTCCTCAAACACATTGTGTACATTTTTGTGAAATAAAATGATATGGGTAATATATCTTAAAGACATTAACGACTTTTTACAATTCTAAAGTTAGTAATGATGGGAACTATGTCAGAAGTAGGTTTAGAGAGCAGTGACTTACCTGGAGACACCAAGCTGGGCAGATGGCTCAGCCAGTGTTGTCTGATAGAAAGATCATGTGAGCTACCTATGTAATGACATATTTTTAATAGCACCTTCAAAAAAGTGTGAAACAGGTGAGATCAGTTTTAAAATAACAACTGTATTGAGATGTAATCCACATACCATAAAATCTATCTTTTATAAATGTGTAATTTAGTATATTCACAGAGATGTGTAGCCTTTATCATGATCTAATTTTGGAACATTTTCATTACCAGGAAAGAAACTGTGTACCTAATAGCAGTCACTTCTTTTTTGTTTGTTTGTTCATTCTTACCTGAGGGTATTTTTCCCATTGATTTTTCTTTAGATGGAGTGGAAGGGAGGGAGGGAGAAAGAGAGAGAAAGAGAGAAACATCAATGTGAGAGAAACACATTGATTGGTTTTCTCCTGAATGACCCCAACTGGTGGTCAAACGTGCAAACCAGGTATGTGCTCTTGACTGGGAATTGAACCCAAGACCCTTAGGTCCTCAGGCTGATGCTCTAACCACTGAGCAAAACCAGCCAGGTCAACAGTCACTTCTTTTTTTTTAAATTTTTTGAATATGTTTTTATTGATTTTTGAAAGGAGAGAGAGAGAGAAACATCAATGTGAGAGATAAACATCAAGATGTACACATTTTTGTGAAGTTGATATTGTAAGTGATCCTAATAAGACTATGGAATATTTTAAAAGAAATATGCTGGCTCTAAAATGAGTTTTGCCACCTAAGCTGCTCCACTTCTATCTAATTTCCAGAAACTCTGACTCAGAGTGCGAGATCTGTTTTCACTGGAGGGAGCTTGGTCTGCTTCTATCATCTTGCTGAGTTCCATTTGCTGGTATTATTTGGGGTCATGGTTTCTAAGGTGTTTTGGTCTGTTTGGGCTGTTACAACAAAATACCATAGGCTAGGTAACTTATACAACAAGCATTTATTTCTCACAGTTCTGGAGGCTGGGAAGTACAAGATCAAGGCACCAGCAGACTGGGTGTCTGGTGAGGGCCCACTTCCGTCTTCTTGCTGTGTCCTTTCATGGCAGAGGAGCTGAAGGAGCTCTTTGGGATCTTTTTTATAGTAGCACTAACCCCATTCATGAGGGCCTTGCCCTCATGACCTAATCACCTGCCAAAGACCCCACCTCCAAATACTATCATATTGGGTAACAGATCTTAATATATGAATTTCAGGAGAACACAAATATTTAGTCTGGATCACATGTTGTACACAGAGGTCTAGACTCTGTAATCCCTGTTGTAGGAAATGTTAAAGCTTGCAGTTACAAATTGATGGCTTTTAAAGAACCTACATGTAAATTATAATTAATGTAGCTTAAGTCACATGATTAAAGAAGACAGAGGGGAACAGTGATTAAAATATGTTGGATGACAGAACCATTTTGACAGGCTGTATCTTGTGGAACAATGGGAAGAATGTGCCAAAGTGAAATGTAGAAACTCATTCATTCATTTAATAGCAGCTATCATGTATAGGTGCTGTGTTTAGGTGGTGGGGACAAAGGTGAATAAGATCCAATCCTAGCATTTGAGGATCTTATAGTTTCATAGGACGTGTTAGATTTAGAAACACCTAAATACGTTGCCATGTTAGAACTGTGGTAGGTGCATGTATAGCCTCAAAGGAGGGAGTATTGAATTCTTTCCAGAGGAAGTGGGGGTGAGAACAAGTTTATGCTGACTCTTGAAAGTTGAGCAGACATTTACCTGGCTTAAGAGATGATGCAGAGTCCACTGGTGTGGCTCTGTTGGTTGGGCATCATGCCATGCACTAGGAGTTACCAGTTTGATTCCCAGTCAGGGCACATGTCTGGGTTGTGGGCTCGATCCCCAGTGGGCAGCATGCAGGAGGCAGCCGATTGATATTTCTCTTTCTCTCTCTCTGTCCTCTGTGAAATCAATAAAAACATATTAGAAAAAAAAAAGATAGGATGCACAGAATAGGTACAAAAGAAGACCATTCCAGACAGAAGGAACTGTGTAAGCAAAACTGTAAGAGCATAAAGCAGGAGGGTTGGGGATACTGCGAGCAGTTTAGTTTGGTTGGAGTATAAGGAAGTGGTGAAGTGCCAGTGAGGAGGGGCCAGTCAGGGGAGATAGTGAAAGACAAATGATGAGAACAGTATGGTGGGGAGGGGCCAAGGAGGGAGGTAGTGAATGACAAATGATGAGAACAGTATGGTGGGGAGGGGCCAAGGAGGGAGGTAGTGAATGACAAATGATGAGAACAGTATGGTGGGGAGGGGCCAAGGAGGGAGGTAGTGAATGACAAATGGTGGGAACTGTGGTGGGGAGGAGCCATTTGGGGACGTAGTGAATGACAAATGGTCAGAACAGTGCGGTCAGGCCCTGGCCAGTTTGGCGCAGCAGTTAGAGCGCTGGCCTGCGGACCAATGAGTCATGGGTTTGATTCTGGTCAAGGGCTTGTACCTCGGTTGGGGTTTGTCCCCGGCCCTGTGTGGGAGGCAACCAGTCTATGTGCCTCTATCACGTTGATGTTTCTCTCTGTCTCTCTTTCTCCCTCCCTCCCACTCTGTCTGACAATAAGTAGAAAAATATCCTTGGGTGACGGATTAAAAAAATAAGAGAGAGCCCGGCTGGTGTGGCTCAATAGTTGAGCATCGACCCATGCACCAAGAGGTTGCCAGTTTGATTCCTGGTCAAGGCACATGCCCAGGTTGTGGGCCAAATCCCCAGCATGGGGCATGCAGGAGGCAGCCAATCAATGTTTTCTCTCATTGATGTTTCTCTCTCTCCCTCTCCCGTCCTCTGTCTCTAAAATCAGTAAAGGAAAAGAAAAAAAAAAAGAGAACAGTGTGGTGGGGAGGGGCCCGAGGGGGCAGTGTGAAGGATGGATTGAAAGAAGATTACTTAGGAAACTCTTGCTAATAATCTAGACAAGAGATGATCCTGGTCCAAACTAAACAGTGGCAGTGGGCATGGAGAGGAAGGAATAGAGGTGAGTTGAAGATGTTAAAGAGATAGAATCCACATGTAATTCAATCTCCCGTTTGTTAATTTTGAAAAAGAAAGAAAAAAAATATTTCTATAGGACAGTATGCCCAAATTGTATTAGCAGTAAGTTTGATCTTTCCCAAAGCTATTGTGATTATAGGCTACATTAACAGAAATATAGTCTAAAAGAAGGGAGGCCAGAGACCTGTTCTTTGTGCTGGTCAGACTGCCTCTAGGATCTCGTGTTCTGTTGTGGGTCTGGTGCTTAGGCCCTAGGCATAATGCCAGATAAGACTCAGACCCTGCCATGGAGGGTCCTAAAGTTTAGAAAGACACTGTGGATCTGTAAATAAACAAATGTGGTCAAGATCCATAGGGACTGTGACTGATGCATATATAGTCCCTTTCAAAACCAGAGATTGAGTAATCAATCAATCAGAGCTTATTTAGAGGAGAGAAGTCAAGAATGGGGTGATGACTGATAGAATTGGGGATGTTTGGCCTAAAGAAGAGATCTGTATTAGTTATCTGGTGCTGTGTAATACATTAGCTTAAAATTTAGCAGCTTAAAATAACAAACATCTATTATCTCATAGTTTCCGAGGGTCAGCAATCTGGGAACAGTTAACTGGTCTCATGAGGTGGGTTACAGTCAGGACATCAGCCGGGGTGCAGGCTGCGGAAGGTGTGACTGGAGTGGTGGATCCACTTCTACACTGTCTCACCTAGTAGGAGGCTTCAGTTCCTTGCCACACGGGCCTCTCTGTAGGACTGTTTAGACATGGCCTCTGGCTTTCCCTGAGAATAATTTGAAAGAGAGGCCAAGCTGGAAGCCTCAATACCTGTATCATTGCGTCTCTGAGCCACTCATCACTTCCTTGTTCTATTCACTGGAAACAGGTCAATAAGTCTAGCCCACATTCAACAGGAGGGGAATTAAGCTGCACATCTTGAAGGGAGGCAGTCTCAAAGAATGTAAGGACCTGGTTTTAAAACCACCAAAAGGCATCTTAGAGAGGACATGACAACTGTCTGCACATACTTCAGAAGCATCGTCTGATGCTCTAAGCAGATAGGTTTGGCTTCACCTAAGGACATAAATGGAACCGTGCAAAGGTGCAACAGGTACCTGGGGAGGTGGGGAGCCCGTGTTACTGAAGTAGGTGTTTGGCGGGGGTTGGAAAGCCACTTGTGGGGTGTTGTGGAGTGGTTTTTAGTATTGGATGGAGATTGGACTAGATCAGAGGTCTGCAAACTAGAGCCCTTGGTAAATAAAGTTTTATTGGAACACAACCACACCATTCATTTATGTATTGTCTTTGGCAGCTTTTATGTTAGAGTGGCAGAGGAGAGTAGTGTGACAGAAACTGTATGGCTGCAAAGTATAAAATATTTACTATCTGCCCCTTTATAGAAAACGTTTTCCAACCCCTGGACTGGATGAACTTGAAGGTCCCTCCCATCCCTGAGAGACATTGTGACATGGTATTTTAAGAAGATTTTTGTCTTTTAGTGATGCATGTGGAGGTATTTATGGAGGGAAATGTTGTCAGTTGGGGGCCCTGAACCAGTCAGACACGTAACGCTGGCCATGCTGCATCACATTCAGGCATGAGTTACATAACAGTTTGTAGATGGATGATTCTAGGGTCTCAATCCTTTTCTCTGTTTTGACAGCTCCTGAGAGAGAAGGTTGTTGGTATTGCTGCTGGACTGAGGCATGCGTTAGCTGCTACAGGTGATTATTTTGCTTTTACTTTCTAAATAGGTGTGTAATAAGGAGAAATAGCTTTAGAAGAAATAAATTGTAAGGAGTAATTCAGAGTGTCCTGTTATGCTGTATTTCTGATTAAAAGGAGGGGACATAAGGCCTAAGTCCTATGGGAAAGCCTTTAGCATGTAGGGAGGAAGGAAATGCAGTTGTCCAGGTCTTTATTATATTCTGGGCATGGGGCTAGGTTCTCTTGATTTAATCAGCATTTAATCCTCCTGCTGTGTGATGCTGTGAGTTGAATTTTTATGTATGAAGAAAGTGAGGTCTAGAGGCTAAAGAGCTCGTCTGAGGTTGCACAGGGAGGAAGGTAGTAAAAGGCAGAGCTAGAATCAGAGCCTAGGAGGGTCTGGATTCCAAGGCCCACTTTCTTTGCTGTGACCCCACTAATAGGACTTTAATGTTTATTGATTTAAAAGCTTCAAGTGAGCTTGTGTCCTAGACCGTGAGAGGGCGATGGATATAGGGCCGACTGTGTGAGGTTGAGGGTGATATGTGGAGAGGGATGGTGGCAGGTGGAAGAGTGGTGACCCTTTTCTCTCTCCCTTGCTCATTTTTCTGTCCCACTCCTGGGCTGAAGGACAGTCCTAACCAGCTGTGGCAGCTGAACCTCAAACGTTTGGCGAGACCGTTGGTGGAGTGGGGAGAGGAGAGAAGACAAGGAAGAGGCTGCATTGTGCTGCATTGTGCTGATTGTACTTAAAAAATTTAACTTTTTAAAATCTTCACTCAAGGATATTTTTTCTTTCTTTTTTTTTTAGATAGAGTGGGAGGGAGAGAGAGAGAGAGAGTGAGAGAGAGAGAGAGAGAGAGAGAGAGAGAGAGAGAAACATCGGTGTGAGAGAGACACATTGGTTGGCTGCCTCCTACACAACTCCAACTGGGGCCAGGGATCGAACTCGCAATGGAGGTACATGCTCGTGACTGGGAATTGAACCCGAAGATCTTTGGTCCACGGGCTGACACTCTAACCGCTGATCCAGACCAGCCAGGGCTAACTTTTTATTTTGAGATAATTGTAGATTCACGTGAAGTTGTAAGAAATGAGATAGATCTCGTGCACCCTTTCCCAGTGTCTCCCAATAGTGACATCTTTTTAACTGTAGTGCAGCAGCACAACCAGGATGTCTTGGGACCATCAAGATAAGAACAGTTCTATCACCACAAGGACCGCCACACTCACTCTCTGCCTGCCCCCCATCCCCTTCCTAGTTCCTGACAACCACTCTTCTGTTCTCCATGTCTACAATATTGTCTCTTCAAGGATGTTATACAAGTGGTATCATAGAGTATACAGCCTTTTGGGGTTGGATTTTTTTTGCTCAACATGATTCCCTGGAGATTCTTCCAAATTTTGAGTATCCATAATGTGGTCCTTTTTTACTGCTGAAAAGTATTCCATGGTATAGAGGTACCACTGTATTAGCTCAGGCTGCCATAACCAAATACCACAGCCTGGGTGGCTCAGGCAACAGTAGTTTATTTTCTTACAGTTACGGAGGATAGAAGTCCAAGATCAAGGTGCTGTGAGAATTGGTTTCTGGTGAGGCCTCTGTTCCTGACTTGTAGATGGCTGCCTTCTTGCTGTGTGCTCACGTGGCCTTTCCTTTACACACACGGACAGAAGAACACCTCTGGTTCTCCCCTCTTATAAGGGCACCTGTTCTGTCAGATTAAGGTCTCATTCTTATGACCCATTTAACTTTCACTGCCTCCTTATAGGCCCTGTCTCCAATTACAGCCACAGTGCAGGTTAGGGCTTCAAAATAAATTTCCAGGGACATAATTCAGTCCCTAACAACCACAGTTTGCTTAACCAGTCACCCATTGAAGAATATCTGGTTGTTTCTAGTTTTTGGCTATTAAGAATAAAGCTATAAACATTTGTGGATAAGTTTTTATGTGAACATAAATTTTCATTTTTCTGGGATAAATGCCCAGGAGTGAGATTGCTGAGTTGTATGGTAGTATAATTACACTTTTATAAGCAGCAGCTTCTCTTAGAAATTAGCAGGGTTGGAGAATTGCCTATCATGGGTTTACTTCCCCCTTTCCTACAACTTTCTGTAATTGCTAGCCTTATGTGTATATTTCTGTCCGGTTACAAAGCAGCAGTTTCCATTAAGTGTTTGATTAAGTTAATTGTAAGTCCTACCCACCCCCATTCATTTTGTAAATATTTCTGCATGCCTTTCTAAAAGATAAGGACTCTTTCTGAAAACATTGCCAAAATACCATCATCATACCTGCAAAAATTAACAGTAATTCTGTAATTTTATCAAATTCCATCCAGTCGGTGTTTACATTTCCCTGATTGTCTCAAAAATATTTTTTACAGTTTGTTTGGATCAAGAGCTGAAGTAGGTCTCTGCATTGCAGTTTGTTGATATGTTTCCCAAGTCTCTCCTTTTAAAAATATTTGTGCCTTAATTTTTTTTTTTTATTGTGATAAAATACACAGCAAAATTTATTATCTTAACCATTTTTTAAGTGTACAGTTGAGTGGTTTTAAGTACATTCACATTCTTGTGCAATTCTTACACTGTTTATCTCCAGACCTTTTTCATCTTGCAAAACTGAAACTATGTCCACTAAACTGTAGCTCTCCATTTCCCTCTCCCAAGACCCTGGCAACCATCGTTCTACTTTCTGTCTCTGATTTTGACCACTCATACAGGTACCTCATATAAATGGAATCATACAGTATTTGTCTTTCTGTGGCTTATTTCACTTAGCATGGTATCCTCAAGGTCTATCCATTTTATAGCATGTTTCAGAATTTCCCTCCTTTTTAAAAAAATCCTCATCTGCCCTGGCCGGTTTGGCTCAGCGGTTAGAGCGTCCGCCTGCGGTCCGGAGAGACCCGGGTTCGGTTCCCGCTAAGGGCACGTACCTCGGTTGCAGTTTGTCCCTGGCCCTGGTTGGTCGTGCGGGTGGCAGCCACTCGATGTGTCCCTTTCACATCGATGTTTCCCTCTCTCTCTCTTCCTCTCTCCCTCCCACTCTATCTGTACAAAAATGGAAAATGTCCTCGGGTGAGGATAAAAAAAAATAAATAAAAAAAATAAAAAAAATAAAAAAATCCTCATCTGAGGATATTTTCCCATTGGAGTGGAAGGGACAAAGGGAGGGAGGGACAGACAGAAACATCGATGTGTGAGAGACACATCACTTGGGTGCCTCCCACATGACCCTGACCGGGGCCAGGGATAAACCTGCAACCCAGGTATGCGCCCTTGACTAGGAATTGAACCCTTGACTCTTCTGTCTGAGGGCTGATGCTCTAATCACTGAGCCAAACTGGCCAAGGCAGAATTTCCTTCCTTTTTAAGGCTGAATAATTTCATTGTATATGTATACCACATTTTGCAACATTTATTTGTCGATCAACACTTGGATTGTTTTCACATTCCAGCTATTGTGAATACTGCTGCTTTGAACATGAGTGTAGAGATATCACTTCAGGATCCGGCTTTCAATTTTTTAGGATGAGCCCTCATATAGTAATTCTATTTTTAATTTTTTGAGGAACTGCCATACTGTTTTCCATAGAGGCTGCACCATTTAAAAATTTAAAAAATTTTCCATTACAGTTTATTCAATGCAATTTCAAGTATACAGTTAGACAATCATATACTTTCCCACCAACAGTGTACAAGTGGTTCTCCAACTTAAAAAAAAAAAATTTGTTGATTTGAGAGAGAGAGCGTGAAGGGGTGGGGGGAGAGAGAGAGAGAGAGAAACAGAAACAGAAACAGAGAGGGAAACATTAATTTGTTGTTCCACTTATTTATGCATTAATTGGTTGATTCTTGTATGTGCCTTGACCAGGCATTGAACCCCTTGGCGTATCAGGAGTAAGGGGTTCCAAATTTCTTTACATCCTTGTCAACACTTGTTATTTTCTGTTTTTGTTTTTAAATAGTATACACTAATGGGTGTGAAGTGCTATCTCATTGTGGTTTTGGTCTGCATTTTCCTAATGATTAGTGATATTGAGAATCTTTTCATGGGCTTATTGGTCATTTGTATATTTTCTTAGGAACATGTCTATTCAAGTCCTTTGCTCATTTTCCTTTTTATTTTATTCCTCACCCATGGATACTTTCCTATTTATCAGATAGAGTAGGAAGGAGGGAGACAGAGAGAGAGACAGAGAGAAACATCAATGTGATAGAGCCACATCGACTGGCTGCCTCTTGCATGACCCAACCAGGGCCGGGGATGAACTGCAACCGAGGCACATGACCTTGACCGGAATTGAACCCTCAATTCATTGGTCCTCGGGCTAATGCTCTAACCACTTGGCAACTGGCCAAGGCTCATTTTTTTTTAAAATACTTTTTCTATTGATTTTAGAGAGCGAGGAAGGGAGAGGGAGAGAGAGATAGAAACATTGATGAGAGAGAACATCAACTGGCCACCTCCTGCACGCCCCCCAATGGGGATTGGGCCCATAACCTGGGCATGTGTCCTGACCAGGAATCGAACTGGTGACTTCTTAGTGCATAGGTTGATGCTTAACCACTGAGCCACACTGACCGGGCAAGGCCTTTGCTCATTTTAAAATCAGATTGCTTGATTTTGTGTTGAGTTTTATGAGTTCTCTATATATTATGAATATTAATCCTTTCTCAGATATCTCAAGTCTATTTTAGTCCATAAATTCCTTTTCCTCTTGCCCTGGCTGGTGTTGCTCAGTGGTTAGAACGTTGGCCCACGGATCAAAAAGTCTCGGGTTTGATTCTGGTCAGGAGCATGTGCCTTAGTTGCCATTCTTCTAGACCCTGGTTGGGGTTGGTGGGGGGGCAGCCAATTGATGTTTCTCTATCTCATTCCTTCTTTCTTTCTCCCTCTCCTTCCCTCCTACTCTGTCTGAAGATAAATGGAAAAATATCCTCGGGTGAGGATTAAAAAAAAAATCCTTTTCCTCTTACTTTTTCCCTTGCAGTTTATTTGTTAAAGCCATGTTAACTTTTGTTTTATTTTGGCACTGTGTTTTGCTTGCACTGTGCTCAGTCGTCCACTTATATTTCACAAAGCAGGCTTGTCTGTTTACAGCCTAAAGCACCATTGGTTACAGCACATTTCCAGAGGAACAGAACCTTAATGTTGCTGTTGGGTGATGGATCCTAGTTACACACATCTGACTATAGGCCAAATACATAAAATTTCATTTACTTATTTGTATGAGGTGCAGAACATGGGTACATGAATTAGACTCAGTGCACACAGAAGTAAAAGGCCATTCCACTGAAATGGTGTCTATTAAGAAGCTATCTTGCAGTCATAAATTTATTCGGTAGAGGAATCTTTGAATTCATCGTGGTGTAGTAGAAAGGACACCACATTAGGTGTTAGGAGAGCTGAGTTCCAGCATTTTCGTTACTACTAGCTCCTTATATGACCTTGGTCAAATCACATCCCTTTTTCAGGGTCTCAGTTTTCTCTAGTAAATGTAAGGAATGGACTTGATAATCTTCAAGGTTCTTTCCCACTTGGTCTGGAGTCTGAGTGGTCTTTTCTGGACAGCCATGAACAAGGTGTCATCAGTAATGTGACCCTGGAGGAGTATCCTGGAATGTTTTGAAGGGAGTTTTACTATGTTGGAATTTTATTTGATGGTTTTCGATTGCTCTGAAAATTAGACTTGTGATTGGCTTGGTGGTAATCCCTATGACCAGTCACAGGCCTTGAAACACTAAGCTTCTCTATAATACATTGTGCTGGTGTTAACTGAGAATGAATCTCCCATAGCAGTGAGGTTCAAAGAGCACTCTGATCTTATCCAAATAAGCTTTTTTCCCCTTCTTCTTCTGTTCAATTGGGAAGCAAGTGGCATTGTGTTCCAGTGGGGAACTGGTCTGGCATCATCTGGACGGCGGTGGTGTCCTGGACAGACTCTCCCACTGTTTTTGACAGCAAAGGAACCGAGCAGAGTGACAGGTAAGGCCCTTATTTTTTTCAAGTCCTGTATTGATTCTTTGTCAAGAAGTAGAGACACAGGCATGTAGAAAATGGAGGAATGGAGTTTTGCTTTTGCTATTTCTTGGTTCCTGTGTCTTAACTCTCTTTGGTGGTTGGTCTCTTAGTCTTGTTGGGATTTTTGTGGGCCCAGTAGAAGCATCTCTCTTTGCTGCCATAGTTTGGAACCCACTGAGAAGCAGATGCAAGGTAGATATGTGGAGATCAAAATGGTAGCTCTAGAACTGTTAAAAGTCAGGTTGGAAGACACGACTTAGGTGTATTTAGGAATAACATGTAGCAATAGTAAACCTCTAAATTCTGAATCCTGGATTGAACTTATCTACCAGGCACCAGAGCAGCTGCATAGAGTGGGGCCCATTAAGTGGACGGCACAGCTGAGAACACAGTGGGGAGGCATCCTCTCTGCAGGCAGGCACATCCCCATGCTTTCTCCCAAGGGAGCGCAGGAGTACGCGAGGATATAGAGAGGGAGGCCAGGAGTGTTCCCTTAGGGAAATCTCTCTACATGGGCACACGAGGAGTAGTTAGTGTTTTGCCCACAGGTCCGTTGGTCAATTTTTTGTTAGTCAGCTGTCTGTAGAACATTCTCTTTTTGTCTCTTTCAGGCTGGGGCTAATTTTCATTCTTTCTCCTTCTCCCCCTTGCTCCCTCTGCTCTACACTCACTTGGTGGGCCTTTCTCTCTCTACAGAGCACCATGTCTCCATGTTTTCTTCCTTTCTTCCTCTCACGCTCTCTTACTTTGTGACCCAGTATACTGATGGTTGGCTGGAATGACACCTTCACAGGAAACCTTTAACTACTCTCTAGCTCAGAACAAAGGAGGGATTTTTGAGGGTGGTAGGAGGAGGGGAAAGAAAAGAGAAGGTACATCACAGTGGGAGCGATGTACAAAATATTGGGATCATTCTGATTTTCCTAAGTCCTACAGGCTCTCCCCTGCCTCTGGGAGTAAGGTTAACTGCCCTGAAGCCCATGCGTTGAGTTGGGGAGGGTACTCTTAGAGAAGGGGGCCCTGGATGCTGGATAGGCAGTTCACTCCACAGGACGTTGAAAACATTCAGAACCTGAACTCAAACTTCCCAAACATTTTTCCTTTCCTTGTCAAGGTATTTACTGTTCCCTGGGTGCATCCTGCTTTCTCATTCTTCTGTGCCTTGAGCAAACTCTTATCTCTGCCTTTTCCTTCTTGTTTCCCCCTGCCCCAACCCGCCCAGGAAAATCCTGATCATTTTTTAAGGCCTTGCTCAGGTACAACATTCTCTGTAACAACTTCCCTCTCCTCGCCTCTGTTGCATTTTCTCATGTGTGGATAGCACAGGATATTGTATTATTGTGCATTGTTCATACATTTTCCCACACGCCAAAGATTCTGAGATTTTTAAGAGCAGGAACTGTGTCTGCTTTCTATTTTAGCACAGAACTGTAACTAGAGAAATTAGGAGTATTTTTATTTGATTTGATTTTAACAACCTGTTTGAGATCTGCTCAAGGCACAGCTTAGATTCAGAGTTGAGTTGGGGGAGTTTTCTGATGAGACACTGGAACAGGTCATCAACTTCCTGCCCTCAAAGTCTTTCATTTTTTATTCTCCCATCTTACCTTACTCCCGTCCGTTCTGGAGCTGGAATCCTGGATGTCCCTCTGCATCTGGCCACCAAGGGCCCAGCGCTTCCTCTCTGTTGAATGTGGCAGAAACATCTGCTTTGACCCTTTCTCATTCCACAGGATACTCTGAGGTTGAGAGGGGCCTTTTAATTAAGCAGAAGTGTCATAAAGTAGTTACAGAATGAATGAATTTCTCTAGCCCAGGTGACCACAACTTCTGGCAGAGTTGATTGGGATTACACCTTGTCAGCAAAGGCAGTGTAATTAAGGGAGGAAAGTGTTGGGTTTGGAGGTGGGAGGCAGGCCAAATTCTAGTTCTGCCTGTGTGTTGTTAGGAAGCCTGCATGTGTATTAAATTAAATTAAATTAAATTAATTAATTCATTAAAAAAATATGGAACGCTTCACGAATTTGCGTGTTGTCCTTGTGCAGGGGCCATGCTAGTCTTCTCTGTTTCCTTCCTGTTTTAGTGTATGTGCTGCCGAAGCGAGCGCCTGGGTGTGTTTTTCAGTGTTCGCATATGATAGCAGCTGAATATATGAGATGCTATTTTTCTAGGCCCCCTCAGTGGACAGAGCTAGGAAATATACATACATACACCTATATCTCTTTGTCAGTCTCTACTAGAAACCATGAGTTTACACTGATTTCTCCAACTGCAGTCCAGTATCACATGGTCGACGCTCGCCCTCCACCTTTTCATATCTGTATCTTTCCTTTCCTCTCTGATAGTGAGAAATCTGGCTCCTTTATCCTCAATGTGTTTACTTATTTGTTCAACCCTCTGGTCTGTAACTGTTTCCCTACGGTGTTAGCCAACTCAGACCTGCCTGCCCTGGCTGAGAGGTTCTCCAGGCCCTGCTGGTGCTGCCCAAGTCCCTTCTCCACCCAGTTTGTTCTGTTATAAAGGTAATTTCAAAAGATTTTTTTTTTTGTAGGCCTAGAGAATTCTAAAGCAATCTGTGTTATTGCTGGCTCAGATCACTCAGCTTCATTGACAGGTAGGTACCAGCTCTTTCTGTTTACCATGCCATTCACAGTTCTGTATGTTTCTTCCTCAAGTGGTGATATTGGGACACAGAGGGAAGAACATAGACTTTGGAGTCAGAATTCTGACGTCACCACTCGTGTAATCTTAGGCAAGTCATTTTACCCTCCTTGTCTAAAAAATACTTTGTGGGTATTTCTGAGAATAAATATGACCATACATGTAAAACACTCATATGGGCTTACTTCCTTTTCTCTTCCTTTTTAACTGTACAATAAGGATAAGAATATCTTCCTCTCAAGGTAATTGTGATTGTCAAATCATATAACCAACAGTAAATTTATATGTAAAATATTATTGTCTTATCCATTTAATCTATTTAAGTGTCTAATATAACTAAGCTCTCTAGCTATCCTCTGTTTAATCTCAAACTAACCTTTCTAACCCATTTATCTCCATTTGCTCTTTGTATATTTATCTATTCTTATTTATTTAATTATATATCTCTTTTGTATTGATATTTTATTGTTGTATCTTTCTATCTAGTCTATGTATCCATATACCTATCTAAATCTAATTATGCTTTTCTAATCTATTTATTTTTATTAATTTCTTTATTCCATATCTTTAACCTTTTTTCTCTCTCACACTATATTTGTCTAGCTATACATCCATCCATACATTTGACACACTCAGCCAATACAGTATAGACTTTCTAGTGACAGTGTAGCATTTTCTTGAAAGTGAAGCTGATCTCTTCCAAAGGTTCTGTCTTTCAAAGCTCAGCTTGCCCTGCCCCCTGCTGGTAGACTGGAGACTATAGCTTTGAGAAATTTATTTTGGTTAAGACCTCACTCACAGAGTTAAGCACATTACATTTTTAAGCAAAGGGAAATGATTTTCATGCATAGTGTTTTATGTGGAGATTAAAGTGTGTACATAGTATATGTAAATTATTTCATATTAATTTCTTCAACATCAGATTTGCAGTGTGGCCCCACTGAGAAGCTGTCATTGTTTCCAGAATCATAACATAAGAGTTTAAATACTTTACAAACTCTGAACTATGTATAATTTGTTATTTAATGAATTAAAACAGCCAACAAAAGAAATACCTATTTTTAGCCTATGTCTCATATTAGGTAGATTTATACATACCTGTTGAAAGAGTTGAGTTGAAATGAATGCCACTTACAGAGGAAGGACAGGGCGAGAAGTGACTAGTTCATGCCCCACAGTCAGTGAGATTGGGGAAGGCATTCTTTTCTGAGAATAAGAGTAGGCTAAGAGATGTTTTTACTCTGTTCTAATTAACTTGTAATGGCTGGCATTATATAAACCTAGAGATTCTCTAATTGCTTGCTAGTAGCAATTTCTTCAAAAATCATGTAATTAGTAAAGTTACTTATTTCATATGTGGAGCACTTTTATTTTGGTGGTTTTTAAAACAGATGTTGCGCCCTGGCTGGTTTGGCTCAGCGGTTAGAGTGTTGGCCTGCAGTCCAGAGAGACCCGGGTTCGGCTCCCACTAAGGGCATATACCTCGGTTGTAGTTTGTCCCCGGCCCTGGTTTGGTTGTGCGGGTGGCAACTACTCAATGTGTCCCTTTCATGTCGATGTTTCCCCCCCCCCCCCCACTCTATCTGAACAAAAAATGGAAAAATGTCTTCGGGTGAGGATAAAAAATGAATAAATAAATAAAAACGAAAACAGATGTTGAATTTTTATTTTCTTGAGATGTAATTCACATATAAAATTCACCCTTTTAAATTGTATAATCTAGTGATTTTTTAGGATATTCACAAAGTGAATTGTATTTGGATATATATATATATTTTAATCCTTACTGGAGGATATTTTTCCATTTATTTCAGACAGAGTGGGAGGGAGGGAGAGAGAGGAAGAGAGATAGAAACATTGATGTGAGAGCAACACATTGACTGGTTGCCTCCCGCACGACCTGACCAGGGTCGGGGACAAACTGCAACTGAGGTACGTGCCTTTGACTGGAATCGAACCCGTGACCCTTTGGTCCGTGGGCCGACACTCTAGCCGCTGAGCCAAACTGGCCAGGGCTGGATATTTTTTTTAAAGATTTTTAATTGACTTTTAGAGAGAGAAGAAGGGAGAGGGAGAGAGAGAGAAACACTGATGTGAGAGAAATATAGACCAGCTGCTTGCTGCACGCTCTCTACCAGGGATCTAGCTCCCAACCTTTCGGTGCATGGGATGATGTCCAACCAACTGAGCTAAACTGGCCATGGCTGTTTTTGGATTTTTAAAACAGAAAAAAAATTTTTTTTCTTTCATTGATTTTAGAGAAAGAGGAAGTTAGAGGGAGAGAGAGATAGAAACATGGATGAGAGAGAACATCGATTGGCTGCCTCCTGCATGCCCCACACTGGGGATTGGGCCCACAGCCTGGGAATGTGTCCTGACCAGGAATCAAACCAGCGACCTCTTGGTGCATGGGTTGACGTTTAACCGCTGAGCCACATCGGCCGGACTGTTTTTGGATATTTTTAATGTCAGTTAAAAGTTGTCAGGATTAATATCCCTCTTTCTTTGTTTAATTCAAGCTGTTAACACATTGGGTCTTGTTCAGTGCTTTTCAGACTTTTTTTTTGGAGTTATAGATTATGTAACTATTTGGCATTGCAGCAGAATTTAATTTTGCAACAGTGTAATGATCCATTTGTGGAAGGCAGTTAGTATTTGCAAAAAGATGGTTTAGACTTACTAAGGTAAATAGAAGCTTATTACAGACACAGGCTCATGTTCAGTGGCATCTTGTTAGCTAACCAGGTCATTTAATGGCTTGAGACCTTGCTGAGGATCTCCTCTGCTTTGTAAAGGACCCTTATACTTTGCACAACCTGGTGAAGTCCAGGAGGTTGAATGAAATATACTGAAGTGCTTCAAGGTCACCTGGGTGACAAAAAAGGTCCACCTATTTACGCTTTCTCATTTTACACTTGATGAAACAGAGACCCAGGGTGTGAAGTGATGTGCCCGATGTCAGAGTGATGGAGCAGCAGATCTGGGACTTGAACCCTGAATCTTGGTCTAATGCCCTTTACTGATATTGTTTGGCTTTTGATCAGTTTTGAGAATATGCCAGACTGCCCTAGGGCAAGCAGTACTGTAACACTTTTATTGGGAGGTCACAGAATACAGTGGAAGCAGGAGACCTAGCTTCTTATCCTGCTTGACTCCTTATTAGCTATGTGATATTGAGAGTCACTTAACATCTCTGAGCCTTGATTCATTTACCTTCTAGAAGAGTGCTGTCTTGTGGAAATCCAGTGTGAGCCATCTTTTGAAAAGTAAAAAGAAACAGGTGAAATAATTTTAATAATATATTTTACTTAACCCCACATACCCAAAATGAAAATTATTAACGAGATACACTTTTTTTTTTTTTTTTTTGCAGTAAGTCTTTGCATCCCATGTTCTTTTTTGTCTTACAACACATTTCAGTTTGGACTACCACATTTCAAGTGTTCAGTGGCCACATGTGAAGAAATTCATAGACCCTTAGAACATTAGGGTTGGAAAAGCCCTTAGAGATCACTGAAGGAGTCACAAACTGTAGGTTTATGGCCCAATGATAGCCCATGGCCCAATTTTGTCTGGCTTCCAGTTAAATTTTATTTTGAACCTGAGTGCCTTTTAGACAGTTATGTGCCCTCTAGTTTGCCACAGTCGCCCTTGTTACCGGTGTCATCAGTTATATTGTTTGTCCTTCTAGACTAACCTCCAATTTTCAGCTGGTGAAACTAAGGCTTAGAGGGAAGGTGATTGTCCAAGGTCAGTAGCTGGTTAACAGATCCAAGAATAGAAGCCAGTCACTTGACTCGGAATGTGCTCTTCTTCTATTAAATCACAGAGCCAGTCAGCTGTATTCCTGCTTACATCACAGGATTACTGGGAGGCTCATGGGAGTGCACGTGCTACACAGATGCGACGTGGTCGCATTGCATCGTGCTGGGTGGGGCATATTGTGAAATCATAGTTTAAAAGTTTAAGCTTAAAAAGTGAAATACATCAGACAAAGACAAATACCATATGATTTCATTTATATGTGTAATCTGAAAACCAAAATAAAACAGAAACAGACTCATAGATATAGAAAACAAACTGATGGTTGCCAGATGGGAGGGGGTTGGAGGATGGGTGAAAAAGGTGAAAGGATTAAGAAGCACAGATTGGTAGTTATAAAAACAGTCACTGGGAAGTAAAGTGCACCATAGGGAATATAGTCAATTCTAATAACTATAGATGATGTCAGATGGGTACTAGACTTATTAGGGGGATCACTTAGTAAGTTGTATAAATATCTAACCACTAATCTGTACACCTGGAATTAGTAAACATGGAATGTTAACTGTAATTGAAAAAACTAAAAATTATTTATTTAGTTAATCCTCACTGAGGATATTTTCTCCATGGATTTTTTTTTTTTTTTTTTTTTCTTAGAGAGAGTGGAAGGGAAGGAGGAGGAGAGACAGAGAAACATCAATGTAAGAGAGATACATCGATTGTTTGCTTCCTGAACTCACCCTGACTGGGGCTGGGGATTGAACCTGCAACCAGGTATGTGCCCTTGACCGAGAAGCAAACCTGTGACCCTTCAGTGTGCAGGCCTCTGCTTTAAGCACTGAGCCACAATGGCCACTGTGAATACAAAACAAAAACAAAACAAAACAAAACAGCCCCGGTCAATGAAGGTTGGTTGGGTGTCAACCTGTGCACCAAAAGGTGCTGGTTCAGTTCCCCATCAGAGCACATGCTGGGTTTGCAGGCTTGGTCTTCAGTAGGTGGAGTGCAGGAGGCAGCTGATCAATGTTTCACTCTCACATTGATGTTTCTCCCTCTCTCTCCCTCTCGTTTCCTCTCTCGCCAAAATCAATAAAGGGAAAAAAAAATTTTTTAAAAATTACAACTTTTTTTTATTTTTATTTTTTTCCCTCACCCGAGGATATTTTTCCATTTTTTGTACAGATAGAGTGGGAGGGAGAGAGAGGAAGGGAGAGAGAGAGAGAAACATCGACGTGAAGGGACACATCAAGTGGCTGCCACCCGCACGACCAACCAGGGCCGGGGACAAACTGCAACCGAAGTACGTGCCCTTAGCGGGAACCGAACCCGGGTCTCTCAGGACCGCAGGCCGACGCTCTAACCGCTGAGCCAAACTGGCCAGGGCAAAAAATTACAACTTTTTAAACTTCCTTTTTTTTTCAGACTTGTGTTCTTTTCCATCATTTTGGACTAATGTTTCTTTACCTCTTTTGTTCCCTTTTTGCTCGTTGAAGATGCAGGAGAGCTGTATGTTTGGGGAAGCAACAAGCACGGGCAACTGGCCTCCCAGGCTGCTTTCCTTCCTGTGCCCCAGAAAATCGAAGCGCACTGTTTTCAGAATGAAAAGATCACTGCTGTCTGGAGTGGGTGGACACACCTGGTTGCTCAGACAGGTAAGAGAACAGCAGAGAGCTTGTGGTCGGTAAGAGCAGCTGGGGTGGACAGCTGTCTAAACAGTTATGAATGCTGAGGATTAAGTAGGTTGGTTTTTATTGATGAAAAGCTTTTAGGACTGGGAAGGGGAGGACCAGGGATCTGGTTCTGCAGTCAGCCTGATGTGTGGCTTTTCCTCCCTGCATCATAGGTTTGCACCCAAAAGGCAAGGCTGGGTTAGGTTATTGTTCTGGCCCCAAGAGGTTTTGAGAAGGAACCCATTGCAGCAAGTATCACCCAGAAATTTGTCCAGATTGTTGGGGAGTCTGCCTTGTCAAGTAGCTAAATGTAGCTAAAGAGATTATTATATTTGCATTTCCACTGGAGTCTTAATTAAAGGCACCACTGTATTTCATGATCGAGCCAGGAGCATTATTTTGAATCATAGCTGGCATGGTATTTTGATTTAAATTTTTATTAATCCTAATAAACTATGTGCATTGATTCAGATATCCCTTGTGTTCCCTCAGATGTTATCTTTTCATGCCTTGCCATCCAGCTTTTGGCATTTAAAAAAATTTTTCCCCTTTATTATTATTTTTTATTGATTTTTTTTTTTAGAGGTAGAGGAAGGGAGAGAGAGTTAGAAACATGGATGTGAGAGAGAAACATTGATTGGCCACCTCCATGCCCCCTGGGGGACCGAGCCTGAAACCTGGTCATGTGCCCTGACCTGGAATCAACAGGGACCTCTCAGTCCATGGGACAACTCTCAATCCACTGAGCCACACGGCTGGCTGGTCTGGCTTTTGGCATTTTTATCACTGCTTTAAGTCTTCATTTATTTCTCATCTTCCCCTTAGGGCAGTTCTCCTTTCCTGGTCTTCACATTCCCGACTTTGTTTTGGGGTTTGTGTTTTTGTGGCCTTTCCTCTTCCCTGCCGTCCTAGAGCTCCTGCTGACTTACACAGAGGTTCCCAGGCAGGTAATTTGCAATTCTTAAGATCTGTTATCACGTCAAGGCCTTCTGAACTTCAGGGGTTCTCAGGAGTCCCCTGGCCTGCTCTTGACCCCCTTATTAGCTTCAGCATTGCTCTCTAGACTCCCAAATATCTGGTGACTGTTATTCTAGTATTTTCTGGCTTTTGTAGGTTTTCAGGTCAGCTTCAGTTATCCTTGGTAAGTCACACGTACTACACACTGGAACACACAGACATAGATTTATGAGTATTCATAGCTATGATGCTTTTAATTAGTCTTAAAAAATTCCAATCATTTTGGAACAGAGGCCTATAAGACAAAGATGTATAATATACTTCAGAGGCTGCTCTAAGGAAAGTATGTTATTTATTTGGAGGAAAGATCATGACTCTCTTCAAAAAGTTTCAGACTGCTTAAGGATTGGCAACATGTACAGAAATTTTTCTTAAAAAGACCCACTGAGCATAATAGCTGCTTCCTTGTATAACTGCTGATATCTGTCTTTTCGTCCAGACAGTGAGCTCTGAGGGAAGGCGCCTATTGGTCTTGCTCATGTCCGTGTCTGCTGCCTGGTAGAGAGTGGGTTTAGTCCCCACATCAAACTGTGTCTCGTTAAGAGAGAAAACACATCCGCTGCGTATACTGCAGGGCAGTCAGCTAGGGCTCTGGCCCCTTTCCTTGCACTCACTGATTCATGAACAGAAAGTCCCAGTCTGTCTCTTTGGATTCAAGAGTCCAACCAAATCAGTCATTGTTTAATCGGAACTAATGAAGCAATGTCCTTCTAAGTCTTAGAGAAATAGAGGACAGAAGACATGGGCCATGCCCTCCCAGTAGAATGTGCAGACAGGCTTAAGTCTAAGAATGTAGAGATGGAAGACTTTACCATCCATCCATCCATCCGTCATACAAATGTGCGGATCTGTTTCCGTACCATGCCTTGTACTAGATATGAACCCTGCCCTCAGGGAGCCCACCGTCCACTAGGGGAGACAGCTTTTGTGAAATTCCAGTGCATTTGCAGTACGAGACAAGATGTGCAACAGTAGAGCTAGGACACGTGCAGAAGTGGCCAGGAAACTAGCAGTCGTGTGAGTAATTGGGTGTTAACAGGCAGGCATTTCGCGGTTAGTCAGTCTTCAAAGCATTGCAGTGCAGTGAAAAACACTACCAAGTGGTAGTGTTTGGTTGAGTCTGTCAGTAAACCCTTTAACTAGTCAGGTAGTTGATGAAGGAAAGACATAAAGATGCCGCATTTTTTATTCCAGCTTTGAAGCATTGTCACTGATCTTGGTTTCCATTGCTGGTCCAACAGCCCCAACCCTCGGGGTGTGAGGTTGGAACCCACACAAGGGACACTGAGTCATCCCAGCTGCTCTGGAGCTCAGCTTCAGGTCTCCACCTCCCCTTGAGAGTGTGATGTCTTGATAGTGTTTTAGCTGTTTAATTAACTTGTTAATTCAGATCGCTTGTTTATGTACTTTGTCGCTTTTCTCTTTCTCCTAAGTCCGGGGATGTTGGCGTGTGCTGGTGGTGGTGCTGAGTTTTGGGTAAAGGGGGGTCTGCCGCTATTTGATCTGCCAGGCAGCAGTGGAAGTCCTGCCCAGGCCCAGTGTCATTGAGAAGAAACACCCAGGGCTTCCAGGTTAATCACTTAGCTGCTCCTGTGAACGGGAACAGGATTTGCTCAAGGGTCAGAAGCAGCTCATTAGTGGAACAAGGGGTTATTTGACTCCTGTTGTTTTCACCAGCGCCCCGGGTGAATTGTTCCCAGGACCTACCTGCAGGCCACATTAGCACAAATCTGCTCCCAGTCTCCTGTGGGAAGGCATTAATTGTGTGATATTGATTAAAAAAAGAGTTGATGCACAGTGACCATATATTTGTCTAGGAAGATGGAATGGGGTGGATGGGTTTGGATGAGAGAAAGGGAATGGACTCTGCTTTCTCCCTTCTCTATAGACCCTAAATCAGTGGTTCTCAACCATGCGATTTTGTACCCCAGGGGACATTTGCAATGTCTGAAGACATATGTGGTTGTCACAACTAGGGGTATTACTGGCACCCAGGTGGTGCAGGCCAGGGTTGCTGCTAAACATTCTACAGTGCAAGGGCACCCCCACCCCCAACAAAGAAATACCCAGCCCCAGATGTTAGTTGTGCCAAGATCAAGAAACACTGCCCAAGACTGACATTGCCAGGGGTAGGCACTTAGCTGGTTCACATGGTATCAGGGTAACTTTATAGTCTGTCTCTACAGGAATCTGGATGTAGTCTCTGCCCTCCCCCTTCAGGAGTCTGGTGCTTGCCTGCAGTGTTTGCTATGGAAAAATACTTTTCCCTGTTAGTCAGAGGCACTTGGACAGAGTCCAAGCGAACCTGTTCTAATCTGGGAATGTTGGCAACGGTACCTGTGTCTCAGGCTGGGGGAGCTGCATTCTAGAAACCTTTCCCAAGCTGCTTGATGTCCCTGATCATTGTTCTCAGGAACTTTGTGGGACCCCTGGGTGACAGGCTCAGTGTCCTTCAGCCGTCTTAGCTGAGATTCATGATTTCCTGGCCTGAGGTGCTTCTAGAGAGAGCTGGATGGCAGATCTGGGTGCCTTCCTAGTTTGCTTCAGCTAAGTCACTTCACCCATCTAGGCTTCAGCTTCCTCACCTCGCAAGCAGGATATTCAAACCTGCCTGGATTCTACATAGGGCTGCCCTGAGGTTCAAAGGAATGAATCAGTGAGAAAGATCTCAACTAATTGTAAAACACTGTGCTCTCACAAGTGAGAGGTGCCCGAGGCAGGGATATGTGAGTGTGTTGAGGAGGTAGCCATACAAAGACTTCAGTTTCAACAAGGTCTGTGCTGAAATTGCAGCCCCCCCCCCCCCCCCGGGGCTCCTGAGCTGGCAGGGACATGATGCTCCACCCCACCTCTGACAGAGGCTCCCTGAAGCCTTTCACTTACCTGCAGCCGTACCGCTGGCAGGTGGCCCTTTCATATTATCCACAGTTTGGAAGCACTTCGTGGCCTTATGGGTGATTTTTCTTGTTAAAATCTCGGATCGCACTATTGTTCCTTCATGGTTCTCATCCCATTTTGTAATTGTGTACATCTTCTTGCATCCTTATTTGCTTAATGCCTTGACTGTAAATTTTATGAGAGCAGTGTCTTGTTTTATTCATGGCTGTGTCCTCCGCACCTGGCACAGGCCTGGCACTTAGTAGATGATTAGTAGCTAATTGCTGGAGGAAGGAATAAATGGCAAGGTGGAGAGAAACACGGGCTTTGCAGTCAGATAGGTGTGGGTTTGCATCTCAGCTCTGTGTGATTGGGCAGTGCCACCGTTCTCCATCTTTGTTGACAATCGTCGTGCAGGTTGTCACCTCTTGTCTGGATCCTGCAGTGGCCTCTGACTGGTGTCATCTTCCCATACTCACTGTTCCTCTACCCTCCAGCCTGTTCTCTATACCTCAGGTGGAGGATCATTCCAAGCTGACTGTGTCATATTCCTATGGATTTATGATAAAAACATAATCCTCAGTGGTCCTATGAGGCCCTTTGTGGTCTGCCCTCTGCTTCCCTTTCCAGCTCCATTTCTTACCACACTAGCTTTTGATCCTAGCTGATCTCCACTCCGGCCTTTCCTTGGCACCTTGAGTGCATCATGTATTCCCACCACAGTGCCTTTGCACCTGATGTTCCCTCTATTTGACACACTTATCCCTGTACTCTTTCGTTTTTGATTAGTTGCACCTGTTTTTTATTTTATTTCTCACACTTCAGCTTAGTCATCACCTCCTCAGGGAGGACTTTCCTTGATGTCCCTGACTAATCCCTGTTCCCTTTTATCTGTTCTCACAGCACTACAGCCTCTCCTTTGAGCTATATTTTTTGTAGCATTCTATCACTAATCCCCCCTCACTAGACTGTGAGCTCCATGAGGGCAGGGGCCACGTTTGTTTTGCTCAGCATTGTATCCTCAGTGCTGAGCAAAATATTCAGCACTTCCGAGGTAGGTAACTCAATATATGTCAAACAAATGAATA